TACATCGTCAGTCAGACTTCATCTCAGGTAGCCCGATTCCAGGGACAAGAGTGGTCTGGAGGGCACAAAGCGTTCTCTTCCGACAGCCTCCGCGGCTGCAGAGGCCACCTCGACAGCGTGCCAGGGGGCCATTGACACCAGCACTACCGCGCGATGTGAGGCCGGGTCACCAGCGTCAGCAAATGAGCGCATCCTGTTGTCGTTGCCTGGGGTTGACTTGGATGACGCCATCCCAGTGTGCACACACGGATATGTCGAGTCTCCTCCTTGTTGCCGGGCCGTCAGGTCCCAACGGACGTCATCCCCAGAAATGCATTTGCTTCACCTCCTACGCCTCTTACACAGCGAAGAAGTCCGATTGAGTAAGCCATCAGCCCACGGAAACACGAGTGAGGTGTGCGCTTATTCAAGGGCCCTCGCCTCCTGTCTGACCAGACCCACGATCTGTCACATCACAAAATAAAACAAAAATGACCTACTTCAATGGAGTGTTGGAGGTATGTTGTCGCTTTCCGCCGAATTTACACAGCATACGAAGATATGCTCTTCCCTGGTCGCTGCACTGCAGGACACTTTTTCGTAGCTCAGATCAGCACAACTTCGTTGTTCCCGGGTGCGCTCTCAATCAGAAAAAAATTAATTATGGCACCCGACAGCTTAACTCGGCGCTTTACGTATCGAACTCAGTTCCCCGCGCCAGACCTTCCTTTAAATCCAGCTTCACGTCGTAGCGATTACCGTGAAACTTTTTCGATATGCACACACAAATACCTACCAATTGCCTAATACCTGCTTATCTAAACGCTCAGAACCCGCTCTGAGAAACCAACACCTGTCCCCACGGGAATTCCAGGTGATTCCATTCCATTCCATTCCACCGCGGTAGGCAAACATTCTATGGCAGACTTCAACAATGGCGCACACATGTTCATGAGTCCAGTCACCACACCGCCTCAGACATAGACTAGTCCACCGGATCGCCCCGTGCCGCTCCGTTATTCCAATGAACTGTGACAACTGATCCCTTACTTCCCAACCACTTTCCGCTCCATCTCATTCTTACGCGTGCGACTCCATTCTTGCCTCCACCTTCCACAAAGAAGCGGTATACAAATGGTAGTGACTGGACAGTCTGGATGTGGTCGTAATGTGGCCGATATACGAGTTTGCTCGACGCGCGCCGTCGTCGATGGAACAGCTGAGCTCGCACACAGCGTCGGCTATTTCAGTAGTGGATTATTTATGGACGGGCTGTTGTTCATAATTATATTCGAAATTCTGGGAGTTCTGTGGTAAATTGTGAGCTTGCTCTCGTCGTCGGAATTTGCTGGGAAACATTTCATCTCATAATGTCGCGAAAGGCTTTCTCTTCAGCCTTGCATGCAGCTGACATCCTGCCTTGGTAATGCAGTTCAACGTCAGCGCTTACTAGTTGCCCTTCAGTTTGTCTGCATGTGAGTAGAAGTGTTTGGGAGGTTGTCTACACCAGTGAGTCTGTAGTTGTTGTTGGCGAGAATGTGTCTAAGTCGGTCGAGTCTCTGACTCACGAGAGGACATGTCGCGCAGTGTTCGAGTGTCCTGTGTATGTATGATCGAATCACCCTTAGGGTTATATCCATCTGGATACTCACTAGGACCGTTCAGGCAACTGGCAGAGTATACGGTTTTTAAAAACAATGTAGTTACATATTTTCCATCAGGGGCATCAACAGTTACGTGTAACAACAAAATTTTGTGGTCAATGGTTAGCTTTAATGCAAATTTTAGACATGACGGCCTAAAAACATAAACAACTGAGTTTCCTTCAAATTTTGACTCTAGGTGGAGAATCTGCTGCTCGCTTGGTATATCGACGAAACCCTTGTCGAAAGGTCAACAGTGTGTGAATGGTTTCGTTTCTCTGCTACCGATAGCACGTGACTCGGTGTACACCATAAAGGCCTCTACAAGTAGCACACCAAGTGGTGTACCAATGGCAACCACACCAATTTGGCGATAAAGTTTGCTTCTGGGCACCGAAAAGGCTGCGCAAGATCTTGGCGCCCGTGTGCTTGAATTCATTGGCGGATCGCTAGCCACGGAAGCCACGCAGGCAATTGCATGCAGGCAGGGGTGGATCCAGAGGGGAGGCCACAGGGTCATGAACCCTCCTCCCCTCTCCCCCCGTTGGACCCGAAGGGGTCCATAGGCTCCGAGGGGCCACTAGCCGGCCGAATAAACGCAGTTGTCTTCACACGGAACGCAACAAAATTGGATGTCCCTGGGCTTTCAGGTGACCAATAACAGTCACAAGCGAGGGCGAAGAGCCACGAATAGACAAAAGTTATTTTTCACTGATTGAGAAGGTGGTGATTAGGATGTCTCAGGGCTGCTTTTGCTGTCTAGAGGCCTTACGCTGTTCCCGCAGGCCCCATATGTCCACTTGCGGGGTCAACCCGATCGTTGACGAGCCTACTACGTTGCCTCGGATTTATTGGCACTCGCTCGAAGTGTAGCACGCCTAAAAGTTAAATTCTTCACAAAAGGTTACCTGGCAGTGCCGTATTGGGATAACGACACAGCCGGTTGACAGTACGGGCGGCACCTGGACTCTGAGCGTGCTCTCGGGTCCGAGGCTCGGGCTTACCTAAACAAAGGACCACGCAGGGCCCTTTTTATACCACCACCTGGGCGTGCCCCGCCCTTGGTGTGACGCACATGGCCTGGATGTTCACGTCGCCGAGCAGACGCGCGCTTCGTTCAGGGCTTCTATGGACGTCTTGTTATACGTGGCGTTTCTGGGAGCTTCTGGCGGGCACCTGCGGCCTTCTTTCTCATCTACTTCCACTCTGTGGGTTTCTTGTACCCGTCTCAGACAGCAGATGGCTGCGCCGTTGATGCCGCAGCAACGAGACAGGCACAGGACACAAGTGCAGCGGTGGAAGTTCGGCGTGGAAGTGGTCGCCAAATCGCAGCCGCACTGATGACAATACCCACAGATGAAACAAAAGCAGGCGGCACTGTTCAGGTGGCACTCACAGCAATGGTCTTGAATTGCGTGACGCCTCTGTGCGAAATACCTTTTATGGTACTCACATAACCTGTGCTGGACTGCTGAAAATTCGTACTTGAAACTTGTAACGTCGTTGAGTGCGGTCCAGCACAGGCAGGGGCCGTTGGCGAGTCCGTCTAGCTCCGCAGCTGTGCAGAATCTGCCTCTTCTGGGCCTTGGTTCGATCGGTAGTTGAGAGCCCACATGCACACCTCGCTGTTGGAAGTTTGCAAGCATGCGATACATTCAACGGTCTGTCCGGGTCACGGCACCAGTGTAGTACGCCCTAAAAGTTAAATTTTTCACAAAGGGTTATCTGGCAGTGCCGCGTTGGGATAACGACACATCAGTTACAGTACAGGCGGCGCCTGGGCTCTGAGCTTGCGCTCGGGTCCGAGGCTCGGGCTTAACTAAAAACAGGACCACGCAGGGCCCTTTTCATACCATCGCCTGGACGTACCCCGCCCTTGGTGCTGACGCACACGGCCTGGATGTTCACGAGGCCGAGCAGACGCGTTGCATGATCAGCGCGTGATCATAGTTAACAGGACAGCTCTGCAGCGCGTGATCACAGTTTGTAAGGTACAGCTCGGCAGCGCGTGAGCGGCGCGTGGCGCACGGGTGAAAGTCGCGTGGGGCGTCGTCCGCGACTGCACGCACTGATAATCATCGCATGGTGCCGCGTTTGTTAGGGTTAGTCTGCATACCGACGTTGTCTGGCGCCGCTTGCAGCATTATGTAATGGCGACGGGCGCGAAGCAGCGTTGGGTCGCGTGCCGTCGGCGGGCTGCGCGTGGTGCTGATGCGCGAGCACAGACGAGCGAGGGCTAGAATCTGGAATGACGTGGGATGAAAACAACAGATAGATGCTACAGGAGGGCCCTGGGCAGTTGCTGGGGGCCTTTCTGCTAGCGTGCCGCGCACTTTGTCAGTCAAGAACCTTTTATGGATTCTTTTTATCAGCCGAAATTGCTCCATAAGCTACAGCCGATAGCCCCATTTGCCGACTGCTGACATGCCCGGGTTTTCTCGATTGCTCAGGGGCCCTTAACCTTCGTCATGGGTAACCTACCGGCACACTCACGTTGAATGGAGGGCCCTACGCACTTGTCACGAACCTCATCTGTTCACGTCTTCGGGCACGGGGGATTGTTCGGGGACTCTGCATATTGAGTTTTGGTATTTGGATGTAGGGCCCTACACCCCTGTCAGGGGCCATCTGAAAACCGGCAGGGGTAACTTAGATTATTTGGAAGCCCTCCACCCTGGGTATTGGGTACTTCTTGTTTGAATGGAGGGCCTTACGCTCCTGTCGGGCCCTCCTGATAACCTGCTCTGGCACAGTTGATCGTTCGGGGTAATCTACATTGGATCTTGAAACCTTCCTATTTGAATAGAGGATCCCACACTCATGCCAGGGGCCCTATCTGTTAAACTGCTCGGGCACACTCGGGCACGTAAGTAAACACGCTGGGAATCAAGTTCGGGCTTGATTTTGACGGCATTTTGTGACCAACTTTAGCTTGCTTTGCCACTTCTTCCGAAAAACTTAGCCTCAGAATGACAGGATTCACCATGATCAGGAGAAAATGGACAAGCGCCATGAATGTGCACGCGTCGCACGCGTGGTTTTCTAGGGATACGCACAGCTAGATGGGTTTCCGTATAAGAATAGCATACTAATAATCTTGAAATTCGGTGACGGGAATTCGAGGATTTTTTATTTGGGGGGAGGCATAACTCTATGGGGTGCCCACAATGTTGCGTGCCCCCATCCCGCCCCCTCCCTTGTCCTTTGACGAAATTATTTCTGGATCCGCCCCCACATGCAGGACCGTTCCAGAAGAGACCAAAATTGAAATATCTATGGCGCAGCTAAGACATAAATGACGCTATTTCGTTTCTCGCTTTCTCGCAAGCGGTGCCCGCCCTTCCTGCCAGGGTGAGGGGCAGGCGACGCCATATAGCCTCAGCAGCTGAGCGCGTCGTAAAGCCCCAATTACACACACACGCACACACTTTCTCGCAAGGCCATGTAATGTTTCTCGCGTTACCCGTGGGTATTTCGTCTGCATTCGTCGGAGTTTGGTAGAGAAGTGGTTGAGTTCGGTTGAGCTGTGTGTGTAGGGAACCAGGGGAACCACCTAGAAGAAGGCAAGGCCCTAGAACAGAGAAAAATGGTGGGAAGCATTCTATTGCCGCTGGGTAGTCCTACGCGACATCTGCGGGCTTAGCGTCGCGCTGGCGTGTGCTAAATTCAGACCAGGTAAAATTGTGCTTATTTTTCATATTGCTGGGGGAGAATGTCTCAGTGTGTGTGCGTGAAAGTACATTTACACCATTATAAAATGTAAATAGATTATTGCTGCAGCTGGATTTATTGGCAAGTGGTGACCATCTGAACTCTTGAGTGCTCAGATTTATCGCATACATGTCACAAAACTATTAGTTTTACTGCTACACTGGGCATGATCAGCATGCTGTGCCATTTTTGCAGTCCAGTAGGAGGTGCTGTAAGTACTACCAATATAAGGGTGCTTAAGGGCAATGGTGGTTTCAAACCAGTATGTCCAGCACCTGGATTATTTAGGATCATTCACTCAACATAACTTTGAACTCAAACTGCTGAAAAGCCAACAGCTGAAGGGCTTCCTTTGTTTTATCAAGTAGATTGTATTTAAAGGACAGAAACATGTTGGTTTCTGCCCAGATTTGTGACCATTGAAACCTTAGGGTCCACAGCTCATCGCCCTACCCCCCATGGATTAATCTTTTTAAATACAAGTTAGGGCCACAGAGCAGCATTCCATCAACTTACCCTTGGAGTAAAATTCGTGATCTTAGGCTACTGGCTATCAAAATCAACAGATAGGAGAGGTAAAAATGCAATGGGGATTGGCCAGTGAAAGCTGATCTTGTTACCTCTAAATAATGCCTTGATTTCCAATAGTCCTGTGTGGGTGCAGATAGATATAGACAAATACGCCTTTTTGGCTTGTTCCCGAGCATGAAGGCAGTGAGTTCTGGGCATGTCCCAAGCTTGCTGTTATAGGGTAAGATGAGGTGCTAATCCAGCAAAGGCTCTGGTGGCTCCTTGTACTTTGCATTTTGTGGTGCTCAGTCAGCATACCTTGCTAAGTAAAAACACATGTTTTTAGTTATATTTGTAAATTTGCCAAGGCCTTTAGTAGCTTCAAGTAGCAGCCAATCATTTTCAGCATTCATTAGTGCTAGCATGAAGACTTTGTGCAAACTTTGGGGAAGGTGTTTGGAAAACATGGTGGCATACAAAACAGCTTTGAAGGCTGTTGCTATGTGATTGGTAAAATATTATTTTAGACCAATTTTTTGGAGTACCACTGATTTTGTATCTATTTCAGCAAATTTGATCGCTGTGCCAAGATTGCAAAAAATGTATTACTGGTTATGAATGTGCCACATGCCTAAAACTGGGGACATGAAGGGAATTCATTCTAAACAAATTGCAAGCATTACTCCCCACATCCAGTCTTTTCTTAATGTGACCATCACAGCAAGCCAACAAAGTTATATCTGAGTTGGTAAGCTATCTTAGTTGATATGCTTAACTCTTAAGATCTCATGGTTTACAATGATGAGATATAGATGTGCTTAATCATCATAGTTGGGCAGTTGGCAAAGTATTTGTGTGCCAAAGTGGCTGGCATGTTCCTTTGATTTTGCAGTAATTGGTAACTAGGTGGCTGGAGGTTCATCATTACATGGGTTTAGCTCAAACCTTGGTATCCCAGCTGCCAGACAAGGGAGGTAATGGTCCACAATGGCGACATGTCACAGGGCAGGCCTAAAATGGTTTTTGAATGACCATTCCATTCAGAAGTCATGGCTGTTTGCATAAGCAAGGCTCCTGACTTTCATTTTTGCATGTAAAAAAATCCATTGCTATTTTTCTAACAGGCTGGAGAATAATTATCCCATCATGTGTACCATGTGGATGATGGTGTCATTGTCCATGGAGTAGGCTATGTCTGATTATTTTTATTTAAGTTTTGCTTGTGCAAACAAGTTGTGTGCTGACTTATTTATTGAACATGAACCTGCATTGGAACAGCTGTGTTTTACTTCTTTTGGTTCAACTAGGTGCCAAACATTGAGTATGTACTCTTGCATGGAAGGCATTTGGCAGCCCAGAATCCTATCCAAACCCTTGGGTTATATATCCTCACTCAGGCCCCAGAAAAGTATGCAGATATTTTGGGAAGCACCTTGCCCATGTTCATCTTTCCATCTGCTATCAAATAAAAATGAAAGGAGTTTTATTCTTATGCATTTTTCATGCTGTAGAGCTTTGCTTTAGTATATTTTGCAGGCTGACTTGATGTGGTATGCACAATATATGTCCTTGTGAGTTGGCAGGTGCCCCAGGATCCCTATGTAGGTTCCCATTGGACAATGTTTATGATGTCTTTGAGCTTGATCTTGGATGTGCATATAGTGAACTGAAGAGTGTTTTTTCAAACAAAAAACATGTTATCAATCATGTACCCATACAGGGAATCACTGCACCACCAGCCTGGCTTGCTTTTAAAACAGCCATGTCAGTGCTTAGTGAATCACTTTGTTCTCTGTCTTGACAGAGACCATGGCTGCAATGGTTGACGCAGACTATGCCCTGGCCTTGCGCCTGCAAGAGGAGGAAGAATCTCTTCTAGAGAGGGACAGGGATCGGCGAGGGCCAGTGCCAACATCCATCAAGACAGTGCTGCCTGCTCCAGGAACCTCACTGGTGGACGAGGCATATGAGCTGATGGATCCTACACCGGACATTTACCAGCTGTTCCGAGACTTTGACAAGCACTTCTTTTGGGGCAAGCTGGGTAGTGTGGAGCTAAAGTGGAGTCCCAGGATGACCAGGTGAGACTGCAGTTCAAGAAAACGGTGAGGAGCGGGGTGCTGTCGCTGCTCGGTGAACATGGACGACGTTCTTGCGTGTCACTGGCGTATCAGCGTGCCGGAACAACCACGATAACTCTTGCAATCTGGGTTGGAAAGTATTTCCTGCAACCAATTGTCAGTTCAGACGCCATTTGAGATTAGGTAAGAGGCTGTCGTGGCCTTGCGTGGGACCATTTTGTAACGTCAGATAGCAGTATCCCGCCGATCTGCGACACCTGTCGAGGGCGTCCCGGTCAGCCCCTCCCGACCGGCGCTGCCGACGATGCTCGCGCACGCGCCTTCTGCCAGCCGCCCACCGTGGCTGCCGGCGGCCAGCCGCGGCGGCCGCGTGCCTGACACGTGGCCGCGGCCGCTGTGCCTCCAGCTGCGCCGGCGTCTGTTCCTACCAGCCTGGCAGCGGCCTCTGCTCGGTGCGACTGAGCCGGCCCCTGCTGACGTTGCGACCGCGCAGCGACCTCGTGCAGACCCTGCTGCACGAGATGATCCACGCGCTGCTCTTTGTCACGCGCTGTAGCGACAACCGCCAGGAGCATGGACCGGAGTTCCACCGGCACATGCACCGCATTAACAAGATCGCCGGCACTAAGATCACGGTGAGCAGCCGGCCGCCCCCCGAGACGTTGCGAGGAGAGCGTTCCCGAGGTGTTGGGACGACCGTGGCCCAGGTGCTCGGGAGGCCTCAGCGGTCGACGATTTCGTGTCGCGGGCGGCATCGATGGGACTGGAGAGGTCACCACAAAGATCCACGCGGTTCGGGCCGTCACTCGGGCCTGTTTGTGCTGTCTTGAAGGTCCGAATCTAATAGGTGGACAGGTTTGCGTTTTATGGAGGCGGTCGCTGTCCTGTTTGTTTCGCATGTTCAATGATGGTTGGGGAGCCTATTGCGAGTTTGCGTCCGGCCAGAACATGCCAAGCGAACGGCGACACGGTATCCTCTCATGTGATGCTGCCGTTTTAATAGGCGCCATTGTGGAGACCAATTCAGTATGTACACTGCCGCATTCACAGCCAATCACGTCACATTTATAGTGCTGGCATTGCAGTGCGGCTTGGCAGGTTGGCTTGAACGAACAGTGTGCATATCCAAATGTAACAGTCAATGTTCAACCTGTCAAAGATGTTTTTATAGGCAGATAATATGCTGCTGATAACTGCATAGTCTGGTGCGGCGTGCAGAAAGTATTTGGAAGTACACAAACTTGTTTATAATGCCTGGTCGGGCAAAGTCTTTCATTCCGCAAATTTGGAGTGCAAAATGCGAACAGGAAGCAAACTACTCGTTTGGTCATAATAAGAAATCGTTTTCCTTGCCTTCGTTGGGCTTCGATTATCGCTGATTTGTGTATAAGAGGCACTTCATTTGGTGTGTACGTGTGCAAGTCGAGTGCAGCACATGGCCCGTTCCCAAATTAAACGGAAAATTTCCGAAAAAAAAGAGAAATAATGCCGACGCATACGTGCGTGGGCTGTTCGTCAGGTTCTGCTCTGCTGACGCATATTATTCGTGACATCTTGTCGCCTCTGTGTCGACAGGTGTACCATACCTTCCACGACGAGGTGGCCCACCTCCTAACCCACTGGTGGCGCTGCACGGGCCCCTGCCGCCAGCGTCGACCCTACTTCGGCTTCGTGAAGCGCTCGATGAACCGGGCGCCGGGCCGCAGCGACTTCTGGTGGGCGCAGCATCAGGCCACGTGCGGCGGCACGTTCGAGAAGATCCGCGAGCCTGAGGGCTATGGCAAGTCGAAGAAGGCCAAGAAGGAGCCCGGTGCGTTGGAGTGCTGGTCTGTCGCGCTGTGCGATGTCGGGCAGGGATACAGCGTCTGGGGACGTGACTCGCTCGGACACAGTACAACGGTGCCTTAGTCTGCCCGGCGGGTGCCGTTCGCAAACTGGACGCTGAGCGTTAATCACGGATTCGGATGCAGATTTGGGGTCATGGCTGCTGGGGCGCTACCTGCAGTGTATTGGTGTGCGTTTGGTCACGCATTTGCCTCCGTGTTATCGCCTGCCAGTGCCGAATATCAACCAACCGTCTTGTGGGAGGTTATTGGTCAATCGTTTTTTTGCAGCCTCATCTGCACCGGACAAGCTGCAGGACATCCGAAACTTCATGGGCTTGGGGAAAGTGAAACGGCCGACGAAGAAAACGGACAACCAAAAGCCGCCACGAGCCCCACGCCGCACCAAGGACCCGTCACGTGTCTTGGGTGCCGGTGGCGCCAGGCCAAAGAGTGGCGCCCAGCCTGGACCGTCGCGGGCGCCGGTGAAGCATGGGTCGCCAGCGAGGCCGGCAGCTGGTGGGGGGCCGAGCCGACCTGCCGTGGGCACCCGGATCGGCCGGCCGGCCTGTGTGGGCGGCGGCACGGCGCTGGCCAGCCGGAGCGGCACGATCACGGTCCCCCCGCGCCGGAGCCCCGCCACCGCCGCCGACCGGCCGGCTGGTCGCGCCGTCGCCGCCGCCGGCGCCGCCTTCCAGTCGTTCCAGGGCGGCGGCAACCGGCTGGGCGGCGCGCGTGCCGTGCCGTGGTACAGGCGGGACCCGGCGCCGGCCGCCCCGCGCCCGGCGCTGCCTGGCCCGGTCCCCACCGGCATCTTCACGGACGTGGAGCTGGCCACCAGCGGGTCGGCGGAGCGCGGGCAGCGGCCGGACGCAGACGGTGACGCGGACGTGACCTGTCCAGTGTGTGGAGGGAGCGTGCCCCTGCGGACCATCAACGAGCACGTGGACCACTGTCTGACGGCGCAGCCGGCGGACGACGCCGCGGAGCGTGCCGCGGCCTGGGACGGGGACGGAGAGGATGAGCGACTGCTGGCCGAGGCGGCGGACGAGCTCGAGTCGAGCCTCGAAGCCCCCGCGCTGGAGCTGTCGGGCTCGCTCGGCGACGGTGGCGCCGCGGCGCTGTCAGCGACGAGCAGCACAAGCACCGCTTACGACGATCTGCCCGACGATGGCGCTGCCTTGCTCGGTGCGGCAAGCGGCGCGGATTACGACGACCCGCTGGACATCGGCGCCGCCGCGCGGTCTCCGAATAGCAGCGCCAGCACTTCTTATGACGACATTCTGGACGGTCCGATCATCATCTGCAGCAGCGACGACGAGGCGGATTACGACAGACGGCGACACCGTCTATCGGACAGGATTATGGAGTTTATTCAAGATGACGAGAGTGATGATGATCTAGTGCATGATTAGAGGTGGCTGTGAAGGTCCTGAACGTTAGTTCGGATAGCTTCATGGGTCGAGATGCTGTTGTGCTGAAATGTAGGGGTGCGCGTGGCTATACTGTTGCTTTTTATCGTGTTTTCCTGGCGAATGCGCGTTTTACGAAGTATTTAGCTCGGAAATAAATGTGTTTGATTTGTTGTGATGTGTTTTCGCGAAGGCGATGCAGACCTGGATTTTCAACAGGTTATTGAGTTTCACCTTTGTTCAAACGTTAAAAAGATCATTCGCATCACTGGTAAGTTGCGTCCTGGAAAAAATTCAGAGTCAATTTTGACCATTCTTTATACACTGGTCTTGTGGAAAACACGGCGGTCGCCGAAAGTAACGGTCGTGGTCAAAGGGGTTCAACGTTCAAATCTGGACTTCGGCATTTCAATAAACTATGCAAATCGCTGCCGTTGTCCCTGCCCAAAGTAACCAGTGACACCGGTGCTTCCAGCGGCATTCGAGCAAGTCGTCTCGTTTTGAATTCCTGCGGTTAATAAACAAGAGGCCATGTCTGCATGAAACAGCGCATTTATTTCAGTAATAACAACGCGGTCGTTATACAAAATTCGCATTTGCTTGACAACACTCATCGCCAACGCCGCGACAAATCGATGCGACTCAAGGCGGAGGTAAGTGCGTGCAGTGACGTCACACCATGCGTCTCAAGCCACGGGACGCCGGCCGGCAAATGCCACGCCGTGACTAGTTACTTCAGCACGACCCTGATACCCTCCACAAGGCGAACTGGTGATCCGACTAGCGACCGGCCGACTGAGCAGGTGGCGCCACCTGTCACACAGGCCCTGGCGGCCAACGAGCGTCGAGCGGCAGTCGACGGCCATCTCGCGGCAGCCGACAGCCATCAAACGGCAGCCAACCAAGAGCGGCTGCTATTGCTGGTCGAAGCTGCACAGTGCCAGCGCGGCCGCACGCCTGAATTGTGCACAAACACAGAGATATGGGGCGTTATCAGCTCCGCGCGGGGAAATGAAGCAAGGCCCGTGCCATCCGCTGCGCTGCCGAGTCGCCCGAGGGCGGTGGTGACCGCACTCAGCAGATTGGCGTCTCTAAGCTGGCGGCTATGTTTGAAAGACGGTTGGACAAGAACAGTTGCTGGCAAGCAGGGTTGTTGTCCAGTGCCTCAGCGATCTCTTCCCTGTACTTGTTGATGTAGATGTAGAGCTCCTTGAGGGCGGCGATCGCGTCAAACTGAGCCGCCTGGCTGCGGGACAGCTGCTGGAGGAACACACTCAGGTCCTGGTCACTGACCGGTGGACGGCTTCGCACCGACTCGAAATACTCGCCCACCGAGCACTGCCACCGGCCGATGTCCTTGGCAAACACGAGTTTATGCGACGGCGAGTTTTTGGAGATGGTGTGGGGCGTGGGCAGGCACGCCTCCACAAGGCTCTGAGATATCACAGTCAGGCTGGACTCGACGGCCGGCGACTTGTCCAGGTCGAATATCAGCTCCGGGCGCCGGATCAGGTTGGCCCACATACGCAGCGGCAAACTGAAACAAATTGTACAGCGTCAGTTGTACAATCTGGCGGCAATAGTACAGCAAGGAGTCCTGAACCGCTGCTGATTGTCTGCAGTTGCCAATGAGACTTCGCCAATATTGACAGCTCCCGCTGACACCGATGGCCACTTACACTAATGTGCTAGCTGCCTGCCGCATGCACTGCGCTGTAGAGTATCATATGTAGTTTATGTGTAGTGTAGTGCATACAGTAGATATACATAGTGTATATCATACCTCGCTTGGGGCTCCACTCGCGCAGACAGTCATGCGGCTGTTAGATTGGGCGGGATATGGTGGCTGAGCAAAGATAAACCCGACGTCGAGGAATGGTCACACTGCTCGGTGTCTGTCCCTGAAGCTGCAGCAGCGGCAATCACAGCTGTGCACCTGATGCCGAATCGAGTGAGCTCTTACCAGTTGGCCTTCCATGCGTGCAGGATCTCCGGGTGGTCGATGCCCTCCCTCTCGGCCTCCTCGTCCAACACATCAAACAGCCACTTGACCACCGCCGGAGGCTCGTCGTCAAGCACGAACAGGCTCGACATCATCTCGTCGATGAAGCGCTGCAGCATGGCTGCAGGCGGACAACGGTGACATCATGATCAATTGCTTCGCAGCCTCGCTTATGGTCGCACAGGTCTAGAAAAGTACGACAGCTTCTTCCTCCAGTTCCAACTCTAGACACCTACATACCACAGTACTTATTCTCCTGAGAAGCATCACTGATCTCGAATTCCACGTTCACCATTCGCTCTCTCCCTGTTTCAACACTCACAGGCCTGTATCTCGCGGACCACCCGTCACTGACCTTTGGTGGCGAGCAGCCGGGTGAGGAAGACCTCCGGCACGGCTCGGGCGGCCGTCTCCTGGCCAGCGCCGCCGCTGCCGCCGCCGCCGGCCGGCCCCTCCGGTCGCACCAGGTGGTACACCTTGATCTCGGCGCCCGGCCGCACGTAGATGTTGGTGTTCACCAGCGGAGAGAGGGCCGACGGCAGGGAGAAACTGTTCGTGGCTGAGGCACAGGAGACGTGGATTCGTCAGGGAAACAGTCAAATCAAATGGCATAGATAGGATAATCCACAATATGGTTTTCATCTTCAAAACTATCGATCTAAATAACAAATCACTCCACACGCATAACATAATATAACACACAAACAACAATAAACGGCATAAGCTCAACAAACACAAATAAACCGTTATATCAGCTCCCACAAAGTCTTATATCCACTCATTGTGACCAAACCCGGTGATAGCGCTGAGGCCAAAGTTCGGCCACTTTACACGCGACTTCGTCGAATAACTGTCACGTTGTCATGCGCAAGCATAACTTTGCAGTCACCAATGGCATTGTCGCGTTGTCATGAAGCAGCCTGATTGCATGCTGTCACGTATTGTGCATATACTGTCGTGCCATAGCGCCCGTGAGGGAACGCTACGGCTGGCCCAGCAGCTGCTTCATTTTATGTCATGCATGCGTTATATCCTATCGAACGACTTTTCTTATTCAAGCGATTCAACAGCTGGAGCGAGACAGCCGCGCGTGAAGTACACGGTCAGCAACGTACTAAGCAATGCCGAGGAAAAACATAAATAAGGAATTGAAAAATGTGGACTAGTTTAAAATAAAGTATCCACTTACAGCCGGGTGTGTGGTACTTCTTGGTCCGCACTGTTTCCCTGGCCTGAACCAAGTACATGGTGGCAATCTTTGAGATGCCGTAGTGGGAGAGGGTGTTGATCTGCCTCCACCCGTCTACAGCTTTGCTGGTGGCGTCTTCGTCGGCCAGCAGAGTCCGCTGACCGTCCGCACGGTACCACTCTGATAACAAAACAGCGTACATGACGTATACACTTAACGACACAATGCAGTGAAGACAAGTAAGAGCTATGAGCCCTTCTTGACTAGAGAGTTTTGTGTGCGTTCGAATCCGATGGTTGTGACGTCATACAACATAAACCAAACAGCCCGCACGGGACGAGCATCCACATCAGTAAACTACGAAGAGAAAAAGTGCAATGCCCATAAAGACACTCCTGCCTACAAAACCTTCACAACGCATGGCAAGCAGGCCTTCCTGAACAACCGTCACTCTTACACGTTTCATACGTGGCAAAGCACTTGCCAGCTCACCTAAAGCGACGCAGTGGTGGCTGGGCCGCTGCGAGGCGGGCAGGCCGCAGAACACCTCGTCAATGACCTTCTGCTTGACCTGACTGATGGAGTCGCAGTCGAGCGCGTGCACATTGACCTTGTGACTGACGTCCTCGTACAGCCGGGGCTGGCCCTGGTACTCGTTACACGGGATCCGCTCGTACGGAGTCTCCTCAGTGGTCACCAGCAGCGTCTGTCGTTTGTGAAAAAGGGAGCGACGACTGCGTGAGACCGTTGCCACTCAACGTGATAGAGAGGCTATAAGGGAACTCTCCGGACAGAAAAATGCACTTTTGCGCGTGGCTACCGGCTGCACTGGTTATGGTGTCAACTATTCAGTTGCATTCCTACCAAGCAATTACACTGCAGGGTCTCACCCTTCGACAAGTTGAACGAGTACATTGGACAGGTCGGACTCGCGTGAACTGCTCCTTTGATGAACTCCATGTTCAGCTTCGGTGTTGCTCCCCCCCCCCCCCCCCCCCCAGTCAGACATGAGCAAGCTGGGCATGGGTGCGCCACTCACCACGCTGTTGTGCTCGACCTGCTGCCGGAGCAGCCTCTCCTCGGCCAGACTGTAGTGTGCCTCCAGCGTGACGGCGTCCACCGGGCCGCACGACATCTGGTGCTTGATGGCCTTAGTTAGCAGGTACAGCGGCGAGGACAGCCGATCCCGGATATGCCTGGGGACGGAATCACATGCGTTGGCTGGTACGCACATATCACTGGCACCAAGTTATCAGGAGTAGCGACGAATATGCCGCTGGTGGTTTTTGATCAGGTGAAGACTGTTTTGCATGATAGTTTTTGATCAGGTGAAGACTGTTTTGCAGTCAGGCGTGGTTGCTGAATAAAATATTTTCTTATTTTTCGGTAGACAGTATTAATGGCATGCGTCGGCGACTCCCAACTGAACAGATGGGATTATTTACGATAAAACCAAAAGGCTCTCAGGGTGAAACATTTTAAAGCTAAAAAATTATGACCGAGACCAAACGAGCAAAACGTTCGCGTGTTGTACTATGTAAAATTCCATAGCGTGGACATCGGGGTTCCTGACAAAGACTCGATTTTTGAATACAACATGACAATGTCGGACAAAGGATGCAACGAATGTATGCAAACTAGAGCGTCACATCATATGAATAACCATGGCTGGACATCTGATGAACACGCACCCGTAGAGGCAGACGGATATCCAGTTTGTGAGCAGCTTTTTCCATGACGGTCTCGGTGCGGCGCAGCATCAGGTGAGGATGTTTGGAGCGCGATATCCTGGATATGTGCCGCACCAGCAGCTGGTGCAGTACGGTCGTCATGTACTCCATGTTGGTCATCAGGATCACCGTCAGCAGGGACGCCACCGTCACCCTGAAAATGGCCAGTATATCGTCATCATGAGCTCTGTGTTCGTCGTCACGATCACCGTCAGCGGCGAAGTCAACGACACTTTGAGAATAAGATTTGACAAAGATCCTTCCAGACCTTCACAGACTACGTTGAGCACACATTCATAATAGCATACAAATTCAAATTTGTTTTTCATTTGCTTGTGGTTTCGTCACACTAAAGCAGCCAAGAATATGCAAATGATCATCTCTGAAAGTATACAAGATAACATGCAAGATCATCCTCATCAATTATGTTCTTAAAGTTCAGTTCTTGAAAAATAATTTCTTAAAAACAGACCATGACAAACAAAGACAGCAGATTCTTACCTGTCTCTGATGGAGAAGTCCTTCTGCTGCTCCATGGTGTCGATGACGGTGACCAGGAAGTTGGGGTTCCTCACCAGCTGCTCAAGCTGCAGCATGGCCACATCGAGCGTGGTCCGAGGACTGGTGGGAGACGAGGGGCTCTGGTGCTTCAGGATCGGATGATCCGCGATGCCGGGGAACAGAACCTGCACGACATGAACAGAGCGGTGTCACTCGGTTGCCTCCACATGCGCAGTCCTGTTGAGAACACGGAGACGGAAAATATCGCGCGGGTTCGCCGGTAGCAGATGTTTTGCATCGAGTTATGGCAATCCTGAAACTCATTGAGCTACATAGATGAGGCCCACTGACCTTGATAAGGAACTCCCTCTGATCAAGGCAGTCGACCTCGTCGGGGTTGAAGCTGGCCGCCAGGCTGTTGAGCTGCGCCTGCAGGTCAGGACTGGCCGCCGCCAGAGGGTCGCCGCCCCGCCGCGAGTCCCACGTGCACATGGCCGCGAAAGCCTGCTTGCACTCGGAGCGGATGTTGTTCTCGAGCGTGTCCATCTGGATCTGGATGCGCTTGTACTCGCGCTCGACCTGGGACGACTTGCGCCGGTACACGAACAGGATGAGCAGCGAGGCCAGCACCAGGACGGCGGCGCCAGCCGCGATGCCGCCGATCACGTCCGCACCCAGCTGGCGACAGACAAAAACAGAACATAGCGGTCACGTGCAGCAAATGAGGCTCAGCTGCTGATAGGTACGCGTGGAACTGAAGGACTGTTTCATATAAGAGATCCAAGCGTTATCAGTCAGAAACTCAACAGAGGTGAATTCTCATCACATCATATCACGTGTTACCATGACGTCCAGCGAGGCCTGTTAGTACACGAGTATCTGGAACAGCCGGCGCAGAATAGAAAGCATGTCTAACAATTACGGTAATCAAGGCAAAGGAACGCATTTTGCTCGTCGAAGAAACGTTGGATATGTTGAAAAGTGTTTCAAGTCCATTCACTAAGTAGGTGTGCTAAATGATTAACTAGTCGAATACTTTGTAGTCTTTTACGATGGGTTCTACGGGCAGAGTACGAAATGAACAAATACGAGATTCAAGATTTCTGTAGCTTCTTCGAGCAGTTAAAATATGACAGTCATTTCGAAGTTCTGCTGAAGTCGGCTTTGGCTCATATGGTATGCATAGTCTCATCAAAGTTGACAGCAGATTAAAATGCGAGGAAGACATCTACTTCTCACACTACAAACCTAGCCTCAGGGTTTCAAAGGCAGTTTAACTTCCCCGAAACACTGCAAAGTTCAAATGCCCAGGCCACTCCCGCCACGACCTTTCCTTGGGCTAGACACAGAAACCCCTTGATGTGTCGAGATTTGCGCCATTCACCACGCGAGCCATTCTCGTTTGCCGTGACATCTAATGTATGGTTGTGTCGTGAGCTGAGACGGGTTCCTTCAGAGCGCCTCGATCCACTGGGAATGAGGCGGCCCGGGGCCAGAGAAAGGCAGGCACCACTCAATGGCTGGCCACGACTCGCACCGCAATGACCACAAGAGCTTGGAGGGAGGGGCGGGGGGCGGAGGAACAAAGCTGTTCGGGACAGACTCTCTGGTGTGTGGAGCCCTACAAACCTTAACTTTATTTAACGTGGTGGGCATCTGGTCAATCGGAATTTCCGCTTAGGTATGCGTCAGAAGCGGTTTGGATTGGCAGGCATGGCCTTAGGACACACGATCATCTTGATATGTGGATATTCACGCCGCGTAGCTGCATCGACATTTCTGCTCCGGCACGTATCAACAGAGGCTTAGAGCGGTAAACAACGCGTCGCATCCATTTTGTTTATCAATGGCAGCCCTGCAGAGACAACACGAATCAACGGTGCTCAATCCAAGTGATTTGCGAGCATTAGGTCGCCAGTCGATGCCTGTCGCGTGCTGTTATTTAGTGCGACGAATCGCCCCATATCACTTGTCAGCAGTTCCGGACGTCTCCCCCGTTATTTACTAGGGCCTTGCTCGCAGAGTCGGGCGGCTCATCTGATCGAGCGGAAGAAATTCCCCCCACCAAAGCATGATGTGAAGGGGCGTAATGATGAAGCATACAGGGAAAGAGAGGGAACAACAGTCATCACCATAGCCAGCCATAACATGCAGGGGAATGACGTGACAGATTCTGATACCTATGCATGCTGGCGTTCGGAATTCATTTACTTATTTAGCATGGCATTAGCATCAATTACCATGTCGGCGACAGCAATCAACACAACAGGTCCACATGTAATCGGTCTGCACTGCGCGCATCACTGCACACTTCCAGTGCTATTGTGTGTCTGGCTAAATGGACTACGTCAGGCTGTACCTTGAAGGCGCCGTCGTCGTCATACTGCAGCTGTCCGAGCGTGAACCGGAGGTTGCCGACGCTGACGACGACGTCTGGCAGCTGGCTGCTGTCGGCGCCGAGCTGACCGGCCGGCTGCTGCTGGGGCGGCACACAGACCAGCTGGCTGGCCGTCAGGCTGGTGACATTGCAGGGCTGGCCGCCGACCGTCACCGCCGTGTCACGCTCGTCACTGGCCGCGCTCAGGTCACGACCCTGCAGCAGGAAGGAAAAAGGCATAACAAAAGTCGCTCCCGGTGGCCAGAGTGGCGTCGTGAAATCCGCTCCACTGTTTCAAACATTAATAAAATTATGTGTTATACAAACACAGTCAACGAGAATGCCGACCCAAAGTTGAGTAACAGTGAAAGATGAATGATCTATCCAAGAACATATGGATGATGAAAGTTAGAAGAAGTATTCACAAAACTAATTCGAGATTGATCGAATCAATCGAAGGTTAGCCGCATCGATGCATAGCAAATTTTACAGATTATATTTAAGTTAAGTTTAATAGTATAAAACATATGTTTCAGTATTCCCCATTCATGCATATTTCATGAATTTACCCGTACATGATCAATGAATGCGTGCATGCGCAAACATATCGTGCATTTGTCTGCATATGCACACAGCCGAAACATACTTCCTAGATGGTGTCAAGTTCTTGTCAGTGCGACATGCTCCATCGTCATAACCCATGAATAGGGGTGAGTGCCTAACATCTTGTCGGTACATTTGACGGTGCATTTCAGCTTTCCAAACGTGCATCACCATCAGGACGTCGCCACTCTGTTTGGCGGCGAGCGGTCACAACCTTAATGACCAACGTGTCTCTACTGAACGCGTATTACCATCAGGGCGTCACCAGTCTGTTTGATGGTGAGCGGTCACCCACCTCAATGACCAACGTGTCTCCACTGAAAGCCTTCACGCCCTTGGCGAACGGGAAGTACACGGGGTCGTCCACGTAGATGATGGTTGACTCCAGGTCGGGCCGGAACTGTTTCATGTTCCGCAGCTGCTCCACGCCATCCATGAGGAAGCCGATCTGCAGCAGGGGAGGCACTGCCATGTCCGGTTCGACACAAGCCGCATGACGTCTGGCAGTGACAACTAGCTCATTTCATCTGCACGCGACTCTTAGCGAAAATTCACGACCAGCGGGAGCATTCCGATCTGTCAAACTTCACCGAATTATTGTGCGTACTTTTAATATCTTTTAATAATTTAATATTTATTGGAGCAACATTGCAAGAGACACGACACGCTGGCAAACTGAGCACGTGCCACCGTGCGTACCCACCTGCAGCTCCCGGTGTCGAGGCCCGGTCGGCCGGCTGTCGGGTGACCGGTGCATCCGGGAGGCTCGGGAGTCGGCCAGACGGAGCGGCTCCGGCGCCGGACCCGGCTCGCCGGACAGGCGGGGGATGGCCGGCGACGGACACTCCATCAGCTCGCCGGACAGCACCAGGCAGAGCTGCCCAACCAGGCGTCAGTTACAGACGGACAGTCAGACGGGTCGCCGGACAACACCAAACAGAGCTGTCCAAGTATTTCTACGCACACCTCCACGTAGAACTATTTTGAGAGCTACTTCTACGCACACCTCGAAGCGTTTCAAAAAGTTGATAACATTTCATGAGTCTTTGTGTGAGCGGCTTTTGTAGCATTCGCAGAATTGTGGAAAGAGCCACAACTTGATTGTTAGATATGTGCCACGAACGGGAATGGCAGAACTGCGCGTGGATTAAGAACAAAAATAGAATAATGTTACGGCATTTCATTAATATATTTGATTTACAGCATTTCCAAGGGGTACGATGTGCCCTCGTCCAGATCTTCGGCTGTTTGCTACCATTCGCAGATGTCTGGTTTCATGACGCTGGGTGGTCACTACGGCCATTATAGGCCGCTTTGTTTGCCTTTCACCGCCGATATAAAAACTCGTCATCACGTCAACTCACGGTGCTATTGACTGGCCGCCGGTGTGTCTCGTTGAACACTATCATGCGGGGCGCCTGCACCGAGTCCAGGTGCCGGCCGTGCACAGTCAGAGGCCGCCCACCCGAGGTGTAGCTCTTCAGCGGCTTGATGTCCAGCACGGATGGGTCTGCGACACAGGGAACAGTAAGTACCGCTCCCGCTCTCCAAACGCCCCGAACGTTGAGCAATTGTCTGTCGTGTTCACACGCTTATGATAACAAAATTGGCTAACCGACGCCGGACTGGAGACTCTCCAATGGTTAACGTCGACAGGAGAGTTAAGCGCATTGAAAACACGCGCAAAAACAGGCCCATCGGCCCGCATACCATTGGCGAGGGCATTGATGTTAATAAATTCCACCCTGCTGTGATCCAAGTCATCGTGTGTTCAGCTCACCTGGCGTGTAGCTGTACGGCACCCGAAGCGTACGTCTGGCGTCGTCTAAAGTCAGACCGATCTCGTCCACCCGGCGGACTTCGCCGACGGCCGGTGTTCTGCACGTGACGCCAGCAGGCCGAGCGACCACGGGGCACGGCAGGCCGCCCAGTGTCACCGTCACGTTTGACCCGATGTGGAGGTTTGACCCAGTCAGGGTCAGGAGCGTCCCACCGCTCAGAGGGCCGATGCGGGGGTGGATGTCGACTACCTCAATGGGCTGAAAACAATAATGGAATGTGTGCGACATTCAGAAGCTATGCGTACGTCGCAGGTAATAATGCCCTGCGTGTTCTGTCTACGGTCTTAACAAGTCGACTCGTATTAAGGAACACGAGCCAAGCGACGCGGCCTACGAGAAAACGATAAAACATTTTTAAAGCCCGATCTTTGATTTTCACTCGTTGAACAATCTTTTGGCCTCAAATCATGAAAATCATAATCATAATCCGACACAAATGAATTGCACGTCACACACGTTATGCTTGCAACAATTCGTCGGCTTTCTGTGTCTCATGTTTTGTGTATTCTCCAGAGTTCACAGTACCTTGTACTCGAACGAAGCGGTGGAGATGGTAAAGCCGGCGTTGTTGCCCAGCTTGACGGGCTCCACCGACGGGCTGGCCACGGCGCCGGTCCGGCAGACAACCCTGACCGACACCTCGTACTTGACCAGGACACAGGGCGCCCGGCCGACGAAGATCCGTCCGTTGACCTCACTCCGGCGAAGGCCGAGGTTGCGGCCTTCGATGGTAAGTAGGGTGCCGCCCTCCAGCGGACCCCAGCGAGGGTGTATCTGACGGCAGAAAGAATCAATATCATCTCTCGATGGTGAGCAGGGTGTCACCCTCTGGCTGACCCCAGTGAGGGTATATCTGACGGCGGAAGGGACATATACCGGCCCTCGACTGTAAGAAGTATGCCGCCCTCGCATGGCTGCGAAGGCTTCTACAGGACAACATGCTGTAGTAGTTCGCCGAGGATACCATTTACTCGATGGCACATGACAGGAAACCAAGCTATCCGGAAACGCGGTGAAGAAAACCACTCACATATCCTAAACGAGCCTCTGGCCAAAGCTCTGTCCACTGCATCACAAACACAGCACTGCTCAGAGACATAAAAACGAACAACGCAGCGTGGTTCCAGGATGTCGGTACCATCCACACCTGGCAATAATCCACCACATACCTTTTCGATTTGGGGCCTGGGACACTCCCTGACGGCCGTCTGGCGGCACTGCTCACTGAAACGGCACTCCCCGCCACACCACTGGCACCTGAAAAGCGGAACGACATGGGATTACTTTCTGTCAGCTGTTTGGCAGCAATGTTCAACGAAACTGACACAGTTCACCTTAAGATTCATGCCATGACTTGTCTTGCGCAAACTTCTCTTGGGCGCACTTGAACTTCTTTAAAATGAAATTCAACTTCGTTCTCGTCTCGTCTGCCACTGCTATTCCTAGGCAAGATAGTCCATACGTGTGCAACGATAACGGCACCGACTCACCTGTATCTGGGGTCCCTCGTCAGGCAGAGAGAGCAGTCCTCAGTGTTTTGGTGAGTTGCCAGCAGCGAGCACTTGTATAAAGTGAAGTTGACGGAGCCAACGTGGTGATTGTAGTTCCATTTCACCGTTGCGGTTGCAGATATCTCAGAGCTGCTACTCCGGTAAAAATACTGCAGATACGGGAGAGAATGTCAGTTACACATGCCACGACTCCACTGCATCGCAAAGCCTATCGCCAATTTCCGACCTTGACAGAGGCACGTTATTGCGGTCAATAGCCCGAGGTTGCCTATTTCTGCGCAGTCTCCATCGCGTTTGGTATTGCAAACACTTTCATTCGCAATGTGGGTTTCGTCAGAGCGCTCGGTGCCAGTCAGTCTTTAACGGATGAAATGATCGTAAAAAGCATCTGACCCTGACGCCAATCAAGCAGACAACTCAAGCTTTTACGAGAAAATCACGTCATTCGCGCAGTCATCGCGACACTGACGGACGTATTCGGCAAGATCACGTCCACCAACCTACCCGGGCGCCGTCGCAGACGACGAAGCGCTTGGCGTCGACACGTGCCGGCACGAGGGTGGTGCGGCCCTCCACCACGATGACGCAGGTGTAGCTGGCCTGGCCGGCCAGCGGCGGCGGCAGGTTGCGCACCTCGAGCACCAGGCTCTGCCTGACGTCACTGGGCACCAGCATCGGCTGGCCGGGCTGCACCACCGCCGGACAGCCCAGCTCGGCCGGGTTCTGCCACTGGGGAAAAGAGGTTCGTAAAGAAGGTGCACTTTTGAACACCACTTAATGCGGCTCACTTTGCCATTTTGCACGGCCATCAAGCCAAACGAAATGCGTAACAAAGTGGAAATGTAAGTGCTGCTACTTATCTCATCTCTTTCGCAGCACTTACAGCCGGCAACAATGAAGACAAGCGCCCAGTCAGTAAACTAGCATGGCTACGCTTTCCTGAACTACCCCGAATTCCGCAGCTCTGGCGGAAACACCGGCACCGAGCGACTCCGCGGGGGTCGTTCACCGACGGCTGGCGGTGCGGACCGCGTGAAATCCATTGTCGCCGGCCTCGGACCACATCACGGCCCTGCGGGAGGTATATTGACCCAGCCAGGGGCACCGCCAACGGACGACCGAGGCCGGTGAGGCCGGACTCTCCCCTCTGGCTGGAAAGTTGCACACCGGCCGACTCGCGTCAGCGTCTCACGGACGCCGCGTGACTTTATCTCCGTCCCAGCCGGGGTGTGTACCTCATGCGGTGGCTAGGACGTGAACTCGCCGGGACCACTGGCCCGAGATCAGCGGCGGGCGACGCGCGACAGAGGGCGTGACGAGAGAAAATTAATGACGGTTTGGTCCTGGAGTCCTAATGGTAGAAAGAGCAGTGTAGTGACGTCACCGACTGTTACAATACTGCTCGTAATTGAGCTAAGTTGTAATAATAAGGAACGCATTTTCCCGTCCAGTTCATTGTCACGAAGTGGCTTATCGTAGTTTGGAGGTGAGATTTGTCGTACGTGGGATGCTTTCTGAATGAAGGGCTGACTTGATTAGACCGGACGCCATTACATATTTCCAGCACGCCGTAATGCAAACCTTCGTAGAAAGAAAGGCTATCTCAAATTAACTCGCCGCCACCTTCAATCGCCGTTTCCAGTCTCGACATTCTTAAATGCACAACCAACAGCTGCGCGGACCGGCCTGATGAGCGTCATGTGAATGGACGACCCCTCCGCACCAGCGTGATCGCGGAGCACTGTATGCCCCCGTATCTGTGAGCGAGCTGGCTGTAGCTCGGTACACCGTCCATCTCCGGTTGGGTGAGGCCTGGCGTGACGTCACATGCAAAGCGTGACGTCACATACACTGCGACCGCAGCTACTAGCGCGAGCTCACCACCGCTTTGTGCGCATTCCGCATACGGCGGCCGAATTATCAGGCAACCTGTCTGTGGCGGCCAGGGAGGGTAGCCTCGATTGGTCAGATGCCTCACCACCTCACCAAGCCGTCGCTGGCCCGTATGACAGTCACGCGAGAGAGGCGCGTGACAGACGGGCGAGCCCCGGCGGCTGACGGCAGGTGCCTAACATGGTAAGCGGGCTGACACCCGGGGCTGACACCCGGGGCTAACACAGCTATGAGCCCGAATGCTAACACAGTCAGCCGGCGTGCGTCCCTCGACTGACAATCAGCTCGGAGCCCGCCAGGTGGCGCCAGCGGCGTCAGTTGGTCGCCCGCTGCCGCCAGCCGCTGGCGGTTTGTTCCGCTGGGCTGGCTTTAGGGGGTTTACCGCGCCGTGAATCTTTCCGCGCAGTAAACCCGTCCAAACGCCCTTTAAAGCAAGCATTCTACGTTTTCCGTAAAGCGCAACCAGTGCCCCACAAACTATGGCCGATGGCCGACTGTGGAGTGCACCGGCAGCTGCTGACTCCGAACGTAACAGCTCAAACGAGCTTTCGAGGTGTCGCTCAGTCGTGCGTGTCGCCGCTGCCGGTGTCCACACGGAACATCGAGCTGCAGCGGAATCCGTTTAAAAGTGCGCTGTAAGGACGGCGTGGTCTTCTGCATAAAATCTGGACGGAATGTACGGTAATTTTGTAGGGGTTTTCAGGCCTTCCTAACATTGGCCAGCACTTAATTTTACCACAATGATCCATTGAAAACCACGTGCTCACTTGTTTGTTAGTTAACATATCCCGATTTATCTTCAAAAGATCACTATTGCGTTTTTTGCCCGGCACAGTGACCACACGCAAGAGGGCTTTGGGACCGTCCATAAAAAGCGCACCTCTGCCTCAATGATGAGTCAAACGGGCGCTCTCTTTTTGGGAAATTACGCCTAACACAGCGTAACCAGCGAGGGGGTTGTTTAAAACACTGAAAGATACGACGGGAAGGTGGTTGCAAGTGGCCAAAATACATAGAGTAACTTGTGGACGGCCGTTTATATGTTGACAGGCGCATGCAGACGAACAAAACATTTGCAAGCCGCGCGAATGGGGCTCATGAGATGCATGAGCATGCCAGACTGACCAATTTGGTGATGGATGCATTAGCATAGTCTGAAATATCCTTAGCTATATCTTTTCATTCACAATGTATATATCTACTAATTCTCGGCGGGTCTGATTATATGTTATACTCACAGATCAAAAACCACCAACTGTGATGCACTGACGTAAAGATATAAAGACATCTGGCCAATAAAAAGCCACAAGGGCCCACCGAGGATAGCCTACCTGAAATTCCGTGCACATTCTCGAAACTAATCTTACCACCTGACCTGCATGAATCTAGCTACAAATGAGATCTTTAGACCGGTAGGCTTTGTCCAAACGGTTTGCAATGCAGCAGTTTGCACGTGCCATGCAACACTTTAAATCAGCTTACCTCGGTGGTTCCAGGAGACACGACGTCCTTGTGACAGACTGTGGTGTTGTGCACACACTTGTTGTCGTACACGCACCAGCTGCACTGCCAGCGTGACGTCACGCAGTCGCCGCACACCGTGTGGCGGCCGCAGTCGAAGTAGGCGAATTGGCGCGTCACAAAGTCCTTGCTGGTCTCGGACGACCTGACCGACAGCGGCACGGTCACGTGGTCCGCGGTGAGAGGCACGTAGGGTCTGAGGCGGACCTGGGGCGCCCGGCAGCGCAGGCCGTCAGCGGTGGCGGCGGCGTCGACCGGCGGAGCCGTGCCGAACACGCAGAGGTACTTGGCCCCGGCCGGCAGCGGCGGCAGCGCCCGGATCGTCAGCGAGATCTGCGAACCGACGCACATCCGTCAGCTGACGCTCGCCAAGGTAGGTCGCCGCCCGCGCACCGAAGTGGAGCGGCTCGGCCATCCCAATGCTGGGGTCAAGCCCAGCCACAGAGGCGCGCGGTAAAGTCGGCCTTCCGCCGCGTCATCCGCACAGCTGATGACGCCACACGGTGATGGCGCCAGCCAGCCAGCCAGCCATCTGGCGTCCTCCGCAGCGAGCTGCACCGATCAGCCATTGGTTCCGCCTGGTTCGCGGAGGACAGCGCGGGCGTCGGCGCGCCGCACGGCGCCTCGGTGCGGCGCGGCCGCGGCCAACGCGTGCTGCTGTCTGACGCGCGCTGACCTCACTCATGGCCAGCCGTGCCGTCAAGAAGCGACACGTCGCCCGTCGGAGGCGGCTCGACACTGATGAGGGGGGGGGGGGGGGACGGCGCCGGGAACAGCCGCGGTGGCCGACAGGTGAGGCAGGCGTCAGTGTACCGTCACGGTCACGATACGACTGACAGCGTGGACAGCATGGGCGTGAACAGAAACATGGCTGAGGCATGGATGACACGGGAGGAACATGAAGGACGCCACAACTTTGACAAAACAGGCGCTGAGCGCTGATCATCTAAGGCGCTTGAGATGATCAGACCAGAATTGTCTGGCAGTCAGCCGTTAAAGAGTTGCATAATAACATGAAATATTACGAGCGTCATTTCCCGAACACTCGACCAGAAGAAAGGCTTATAGTTACCGATTTTTGCCGCAGCGTGACGAAAATCGTACAAGATGTGCACAGCTGCGGCACACAAGCTTTTGTAAACCATTGGACAGTATTTTTCATGCAGCTGACGCACATTCACCGCGGTGAACTTCACATAAGATGCTGTACTGTACAAACCTCTCCAGTGCATTGTTACATTCTGATGTCTTGCAAAGCATGACTGAAAATCAATCATTGCACAAACGCCTATTAATCCATTAATGAGCTCAACCATCTACCAAGTTGCCAATTTATTCGTATGTTTATACATTCCACTATTCCGCGTGTAAGTGACGCATTGTAATTTTTTGCAGCGCCCGGACATCATAAGCCTTCATCACTTCAATATGAAACAGGAACTTGCGAACGATCTATAACGAGCGTATCATTGTTCAGCTGTTGTTTTATAATTCTGCATCAACTTAACTGGACTCATTGTTGTCACACGCAGAGTATCATGCGCCACAAAAAAGTGGTTACCAACGAGGTAATTGCTCCATACGATTCCGTTTGAAACGTCCGGCAGTCTCTCAACACTCTGCATTAGTTTCGCCGGGCGAGCGTGGGTTTACCCGAGAACCCCGGGTCTGCGCCGGCATACACCCATGGGATCCACAGGGACCGACGCCCTCTCCCAGAAAGCCACCGCTGCAGCCGTTCGTCAGTTCGCAATCCGACCGTGTTGCCATCGATTCAGCCTGGTTTTCGGCTTCATTTGTTCCGACGAGCGCAGTTAGACGCCGCATCCGTCTGCGGATCAGTGGCCGTGCGCGGCACCTGCTGCTGGATGGGGAGCGGAGCGTGACGGCGGCCGAGACACGGGCTGGCTGGGGCGCCCGCGGGTCCGGCCAGAGCGGACCCGCGGGCGCCCTGGAGTCTGCCCCTTGAAGTTATGGCATTGTCAGAAAGGCGCCTTTGGTGTTGATTGTATGAATCATGTGGCAAATTATTAAGCACGGTTTGATTTATTTCGTCCTTGAATTGGTTCAAATATGAACAGAAAATGGGAGCTTTATAACAGCCATGTTTATAAACCGCCACTAATTGCTTTCTATGTCTATCGCTCTGCTATAAGACCGACTGAGACGAGCCTGGATGAAAGTCGACCCAACAACAGCACTGACATCCGGCGGCGGCGCATTTTCAAGAACTGACCTGGCGTCAGCAAGCCGGACGTGAGATGAGATTTATATGAATATAAATGTTATCGACAAAAACTCGCATAATCGTTTTTGATGATGAGAACACTGCCAATGCCAAAATAGGCATGACAGTAAGCTTAAGCCGGTCATCAAAAACTCAGCTTCTGCCCGAATTTTGTGACAAATTTCCTATTCCCGTCACTGTAACGTTCACTCCTACCAGCCAGCTGGACACGGCACCATCAGGACACACGACCGAACGCATAGTGGTCCCCTACCCCTGACTGGGATTAGCACGGGGGCGGAGGGCGGAAACGCCTGCCTGGCCACCTGCTCCCGGCTGGGTACGGCCACCAAACCCAATCAGCTGGCCCTCCGAATCGGCCGGCACGCGGCGGCGGAGGTCCCCTAATCCGGACAGGTGGCGCTGCATCGAGGGGACCTCTGAGGCGTGCAGGCGCTGCCGCTGACGGCCCGGACGCCAGAGCTGCACAAAATGGAAGAAATGCCGTCCGTCCGCTGATCCGCTACTGTTTGTTGTTAATCCGACGATCCGATCCGCTCCAAATTGACAGGATTCAAGATAGGTGGACAACCACGCAGGGTAGAAGAGATGAAGACTGAGAGACAAAACCGGCATTGACATATAATATGCGTGCTGTTTTCACAGCGACGAAATGTACCAATTTTTCCAACGTACAACGTCTGAATATATTTTGTGCAATGCCTTAGAGCTGCCGTCAAACTTAAGCCGTTATCTGGATCCCGCCATTTTCCACAACCCGGCGGGGATAATTAGCAATGACAGTATCACGATGCTCGTAAAAAATGCAAGTTTTTGTTTGACCAAGGCAGAGAATGCCAGTGTCTTTGACCAGACCTCTTAAACGCATATATCTATGCTTTCGGCGGCAGCGGAGATACGGGCGGCGGTTTGCTTGGCTTTGGCTGGAGCTCCTCCCCTCCCCTGTGACCATCGGCACAATGGCGCACACGGGACACCGCGTCCAACCCGACGCGCTTTGGAATCCAAGCGCTATTGATGGCGGCCTCGGCTTTCATCGATGTCCTCACAGGCCAGCTGAACCATTGAGGGAGCCCCCTAATTTGTGCCCCCCGCAGCGAACTTCAGCCCGCTGGCATTGAAGCAGACAGGCGGACGCCTCTGAGCGGTTCACCAACTGCCGGTTAACAAGGGGCCGTCTGAGCTGCTGCTGGCGGCTGGAGGCTGCCTCCCCGCTCATCCAGCCGGCTGGGCCAGTATGGTGAGGCCAGCAGCTTCCGTGGACATAAAAAAGCAAAAACACGCCGGCAAGAGTTCCACCAGAGTACATGAGATGAGTTGGACGTGGTTGAAACGTCACCAACAGTGTTGGACAGTGGACAGTGGAGTGTTGAAGTGTTGGACAGAGTTGTGCCACATAATGGTGATACGCCATATCTGACATTCAACTCGCTTCCAAGGGTTTTTGTACAGCTGTAGCAAACGAGCACAACATTGATGCTTGCTGGAAATTTTCCAACGTGTAGATGGTCCACATGAAACTCATGTTCATGGCTGATTGGCTAGGCTAGTTTTGGCCGGCAGATTTTCAATCAGATTCGTTTCTGCTCTTGTCCTGTTTTGTGCTGCTTCAGTGTTGAGGGACTAAACTGGCGCTTCTGATCCGTACCGAAGCTTATTTTTGCTGCTTCGGCGCCGTAACACTCGCAGGCTGTAAAGCTGATGAAGCAGTAGCAGACGGTGTAGAAAGCAGAACCAGAACATTACTATCTGGCTCAGACCGTCCGAAATCTTGAAGTAGTTCCCTTACTGTGACATGAGCCACACCACCTTAGCCCTGCCAGCGTGAGGCGGCCCATCCGCAGGCCACCCAATCAGCACACGGTGCCACCCCCTGGGACCACCGGGCTGACACCACAGGCTGGCCTTTCTCGCTCGCCTCCTCTGTCAAACACCATTTAAAGCAAATGTGGGCCACCCAGGACACGGGCCGCAGCCGCTTGGTGCGTGGCGGCAGAAACACACCGAAGCAATGACACTTCTATGAATACAAAGCGATCACATGCGACTAATAACCCGGCATCATTCGTCCTGGCCGACAGCCAATACCGTCGATGTTGAGTGCCGCAGTATTTATAGGTGTGCGCTGAGCGAAGAATAAGTCAGGGCGAAAACGACAGCTTCGCCTTATATCACCGGTTCCACCACCGGCAGCCATAAATACGGCCATAGGCCCGGTATTACGGGTGATTTCAAATTAACTGTTCCACAATAAATCTCAAAGCGATGGAGCTGAACTGTTTTCGAGAAAGGAAACGTCGCGGCAGCTCCATGGCGGCACACTTGGCAGCTACCGAGCGATACGGCACAAGGTGACACCCCGCAGAGCAAAACGAGGGGGCAGATCCAGAGCGACGCAATCCTGCGAGGCAGTTCAGAGTGGTATAACACGACATAACAGCCCGGGGCGCTAAAACAGCATAAGAACACCTTGCGTGGCGTGGGACGAGTCAGGTGATAGCAGATGTGAGAGTTGCCATTTATCAGCACGTCGACGACTCCAAAAAGTAAGCTAGTAGGACCAGCCGCTGCGTAGCCAGCTTCAATGTGTGATTTCATCAATACGTTGTCACATCTACCTACCATGATAATCTAACACACGAAGGTTTAATTGCGTAGAATTCGCGCGCTAATTCACAAGTAGCACCACTTGAAAATGGCCGACTGTGGTTCATGTCAGGTTCGGTAATTTTGATCAACAACGTCGGAGAATTTGCAACAAGTTGCGGTTTTGCAATTGTGACCAAAGGCTTGCAAAACATGCAGAAATTTGGCGTGCATATTGGTCAAATTGAGCAAAACTACAAGTCAATGCAGTTTACACGACCTACTCTTTCTCAGTGCAGGCCACAGCGCCCCATCTCAGAGAAAGGTTTCGGAGAGAAGGTGGCATAAGATGTTTTCCGGACGATTACTGGTACAGCCATGCTAGGCCGGACAGTTTTTACATCCTAATGCGCTGTGGCCGGTACGCTCACTTACACCGTGCTGTTGACTTCACGTTTTCGTTCGCTCCGACCGCTTTGATCTGGTATCGGTCTTTTTTTAACAAATGAGCGGGTCCATAGTTTGCGCAAGAGAGGATGTGATCGTCTGAGCACATCACCCACACATTTCTGCCAGCACCATTCACTCTGTTCTCTCCCTCAGAGTCTGTTGACCTCTTGTTGCTCATACACAGGACTGTCGGCGTCTGAGTCCAGTTTGGCCCGTGTTTTCCACTTGTTCCACAGTTGAGGACATTTTGACTCTTCTACGCTAATCGAAAAAGGGAGAAATTGCGACGTTGGAGGCGAAGGCCTGGTCAGACGGCATGCATGTAAATGCCTAACAACCCATACAGAACAACTCTTGAGGAATCACCATCCGTCTTGATGAAAACTGCGTGAACCCACGAGCAGTGATTAGAAAGACATTGGCTTCCTGAGGGCTCGAGCACCGGCGGGACCGTGCCGCTCAAGCGGATAATGTTATCGTTACAGGAAGCCCCACTCCGCCTGCGCCCCCGCCCGTAGCGAGTTGGCAGCCCTAGGGAAAGTGACACCACGTGGAGATCAGATCACAGGGAGCACCCGCTCCAGGGCCGCCGCACGCAGTCAATCTCTACCCAACGAACAGGGCAGCAGCAGCAGTCTTTCGTGTTCTTGCGCCTGAAGACGGGGTAAACAGCAACCTTTTTCGGCAGCTGGTTCATGCCGGCCCCTAATGTTAGCATTGACAGCATGGTTTACAGCTAGTCCGAAGATGAGGAGAATGTGCGGCAGGGCTGATGGGCTCGCCAAGGACGTCTATCGGCATCACCATGTGGTGAGTACGATTTGAGCATCGATCCGAGGCAGTCCGCTTTTCTGACGCATGTTTAGACGTGTTGAGTGTTGCGTTATTAACAGAGAGCACGTTCTTGAGCGTACTTAAGTATCAATGATGCCACAGTTTATTAATCGACTGGCGCCAGGCCATGGGCACATTCCACGCGTTGCCACTCTGGTCTTTTCACAAATGCAACAGGGCTTTGTTCATTTCGATGATATGAACACCTCACCAGTGATAGATTGCCACTAATATTTTGTATGGGGTTTTGTAACAAATAAGATAGGCTGAGCTGCGTTAGTTTGAGTTTGAAAGCTATTTAAGGGATTACATACAGTCTTGCCATTCCCACAACAAATGTTGCTTTTGCGGTAAGTCCAATGCTTTAGATTTCACAGCGCAAATGAGCTTCTTCCATAAAAATGCGTGATTCAAAACGATTGTCAGCCCTAGCAAATGATGGCAGAATCCAATTTTTTAGGTCTCCAGTCGGGGTGTAAAGTGAGGCCAGTTCCCACTTGGCTTACGCTGGCGTGCCATTACCCCTGCTATTGCAGGCCTGCAGCAAGCGCGGCCAAAAAAGAAAAGATGCATTAATTGTCACACTTCCTGCTAATTAAGGCCTACCACACACACTAGCCCACGAGAAAAAGATCTCAGTAGATATGAGACGATGTCCGACACAATAACAATATCTAAGTAAAATGCACAACAGTGTGTTGAGTGAAAACGCGTAATAATAAATCACGCAATTTAATAACCAAACTTTTAGTAATTAGCTTACAAGACCAGAACGGCAGCATATCGAAACAAAGGAGTCGCAAGCACGTGAAGATGGCTAATGAGTTTACTGACACCATCCGCTCGCGAGTGTAACCGAAATGCACGTGATCTCGCCCGTGGCTTCGGACAGCGGGCACCGGCTAAACGCCTGGCTTTAGCGCTCAGTCCAGAAGTCTTCATCCGAAAGACCGCTCAGGCGTTCCAATGAAGATACATGACGTCGGAAGGCGATGCAAACAGCCGTCACAGCCCGGGCTGGCTGCGTGAATGAGCTGGGCACTGAAGCTCAATGATGCAAGATTAGATGCTCGTTTGTCTTGATTGGGATGCAAATGCTGACACATCTGACGCCAGACAATTCGTCACTGGTGCCATCACTGAGGAGTGATGGAGGCCCAAATAAATGTTTTATTCTACCGTTAATCTAGACATCTGCAAGGCCTGGAATGGTTAATCTGAGCTATTTATGCGGACATCAGTTAATTCGTTTTGTTTCAGACGACGACTTTGAAAAGCAACAACATACTTTAAGTTTTAAAAGTGTATTTTGCTTTCTTTTCAAAACAGTTTTGCGATGTAAACGATGAAGAATCAGATAATTGGTAGTTGGCAAGCAGGCTCAAGTTTTGATTCGGATGACGCCAGTATAGACTTCTGAATATATTAAAAATTGTCTTCAGTCAGGATGACACCGATAACTCTGAAACCGAAACCGAATATACCGATGACTCTGAAATCTTCTTGTGATTCGGGGTCGGGATTAAGCCAACCAAAACTTCGTTAGATTGGCTCGGCAAGAGATGTAGGCACCAGGATGTATTCACAGACGGGCATATTATAAGGCTTCCCATATATTACATCACGTGTGGAGGGACAATTTGATAGCAGGCAACCAAAGCGTAACCAGGGAGGGGATTTGACAGCCAAACATTACACTGAGGTGTGATTGCAAATCATGCTATTGTTTAATGCTTTATCCCGCAGGCTTCCTATGACAAGCAATACATGCCTCTTTATCTCGTACCTCTCGCTCAATTGAGAACCAACCGGACGTTTCCTGCTTAGGACGTTACGCTAACATAGCGTAACTGGGGGGAGCAGGTCGAAAAATTACCCAAAATGCGTAACAAAACTGATGAACTGCTCCTTTAAGTGCACAAAACTGAGCGCAGCCGTATATAAAGTTTCGTTGTCACAAAAACTTTGGTTAGCTTCTTATGAAGGATGTAGGACCGGCTATATCCTAAACTCTTATCAACATCGACAACATCGGAATCGACTATGAAATCGGGCCATGTTTCATTCAATTGGAATCAGAGTCGACTCAAAGTTTCGCTAAAGCAGAATCAAGAACAGGTCTGTAATGGTATGTACCTTTATAAAATGATACATGACGGTCCTATCCAGATACGTTATATACCCACAATCAATCAACCAAATTGCTCAACATCAGACGACAGATATCTGAAACTTGCTGCTTCTGAACTGAACTATTTCCCCCGTGCTGAGTAAATCCCCTTGTGGCGGCGGAGCGCCGGTTGGCGCGTTTGCCAGAGAGCGATTCGCCGACAATCCCTGCTCCGCCGTCCAATCTGGCGGCATTAGGGGTCATCAGGCGTGTTTGGCCGCCGCCGACACACGGTTACGCCGCACCAATAGAGGCCGCCGTCGCCGCGGGCGTCGCGCCGGCGGGCGGGACCGCCATCAGTGGCGCCATCTGTGACCTGTCGCGCGGCCCGCCGCCCCGTCAGCGGACCGTAGCCGGCTCCGGGGAGAGCTGACCGTGTGGGCAGGAAGGAGGGGGAGGGGGGGTTGACCGCAGGATCGGGTGGAAGGAGATTACGCAGGAGAGGCGACCCACCCGGCCTGCCCATCACTGCCACCTCACGTCTAACCGACCTCACCCGGTGCCGTGACCCCATTCCACCTGAAATGACCCATTTCTGCCACTTCATGTCCAGTGTCCGACCGACCTGAACACCACGTGCACCCAACCTGAGCTACTTCGGGGACCTCGTCCGTGACCTGACCTATGCCGGTGCCCTCACGCCAATCGCTGTTCCCTGTGTGGTCTCCTAACGCACCTCTCGGCCAACATATATTGGGTTATGGTGGCGGTAGCTATCGTCTTACATGAAGGGTTAAGTGTGATATTCATGTACGGGCACACTATACGGTAAAGAAGTATCCGAATCCTTTCAGCACGGCAATGTGCATCCAGAATGCGAAGGCGCACTGCCTTTCTGTGCCTTGTTCGCGCCATTTGCTATGGCGCGAAAAGTCCAATTCCGTTTGAATCCAGTGAAGACCCTGAGATTTACTGGAATCTGGTTCGATATGCCGGGGATAGCAAAAGATCCGGTAACAAGGCGCTAGTTCCGCACCACCCCGGGCACATGGTTTCCAACTCCCGGCCGGCCAGCAGCCAGCCGACGCTCGAACACCTCCTCAACGGCCCCCGTCGGGGCGGAGACTAGGGCACGCGCAAGGGCACACAACATTTCTATTGTGCTCGTGACATCGGAGGCCGGGGGAGGGAGGTGTTTCTGCACAGGCCAGGGTTGTGTATGAAGTGCCGCGTCAGAAGCCAAGCTCTCCGACTCTCGGACCTCTTGGGGTCAAATGGTCCCGAGGGGAAAAATATGATAATTATTTTTAAAAATAAGTCGAGTGCTTCCTTGGGTGGGGCGTCCCACCGCCACGTGAAGATGCCGCGAAAAATAAGAGCGCCGACAGAAAGTATGTATGATGTGCTGATGACGGCAAACGAAGCGGTTTGCTGCGCCCAAGTAACCCAGAATCAGGATGTGAATGTTTGACATTTCCATCCCGATGATTACAGCTGATAGTACTGGGCATGCAGGCACGCAAAATGCATTTTCAAAACGGTAGGAGCAGGGAACCGAAAATTGCTGGGTCGAGCTGCCGGCTGAACATCATGCTCAGACCGACAGACAGGACAGACTGCGGATCGAATTCAGACTGCAGTGTGTTAGTAAACCCCAATAAGCGTGTTGCTAATGTGAACCGCGCTAACCTCCGCCTGCTGGTTGACAGCGATCTGGCTGGGTTCGATCCTCTCCATGTCGATACACTGTTGTCCGGCATCGATCGTCAGCCAGCGGGGGGAGCTGGAGAGGGCCTTCTTGCACTCGGACCGCACCGTGCACCTGAAACAAGAGACAACGCCACCCCTCAGAATACATTTTCTGTAAATAATGTGCATATGGCATTATGGTACGCGTGCATGTGTTTTCATGTTATACAAGCATGCCCAGTTTAAGCACCTAAAACATACATTGCACGTTGTTGCGGTGCCGCGCTGGGATGAACACCGGAACGAGCATTCATCCCATCGCGAAACCCTACTCAGCCACCCATGCCCTTTAGCCACCCACCCACTAGACCCACCACCACCCAGATCCACCATCTCATCTTCACAGCTCCCAGCCATCTTCGTATACTGCGAGCTCATCTTCACCTGCCACTCTCAGTCGCCCCCTCCCCTCCCCCTCCCCACTCCCACGTCTCACGCACCGTCAGCGGAGAATATGAAAACAATCAGCCGGGCTGCCGGGCGGGCCAGACGTGGGCCCGTCGGCCCGGCAGACAGACAGACGGATCCGCGGGGCGACCTCGCTCGCGCCAGCGGCGGCGGCGGCGGGCCTCGCCGAAACTCCCGCAGACCATGAGGACAAAGGGGCGCTTCCGGGCGCCACCACGATCAGCGCGTGTCTCGAGCTGTCCGCGTACGTCCAGAGCTCAGGAAAGGATAATCGTCCCGGCTGCTTCACCGGCCAGACGGGGAAACAGGAAGAAGACCCCCGGCGTGGCCGTCATGGCACGTAGCGAGCAGACGTGCCGCCGCCGGCGCCCCCCGCACGCCGCTCCCTGCGCTCCCCCCACTCCCCGGTCGCGCTCAGGGCACGCCGTGAGCCGCGCGCGTCTGCCCGGCCCTGGAGCACGGCCTCCAAAGCGGCGGACGGAGCTCGCTTTTTGCGGCGTGTTTGTTGGTACTGAAATTACCCATGACTCATCGCAACGGCTGCGGGCAAGAAGCTGAACTCAGATTCAGACGTGGACCCGCCGCTTTTTACACACCACGCCGACGCGTGGATACCCTGACCGCGGGCACGGCGACGGGATACAAGAGGCGATCGGGCGCTCCGGCAGCATCTGGGTGGCGTCGTCACGTTCAAACTCAACCGATCGGCGCCACGTCACGTGAACCCTGAACATGATACAGTGGGTAAACGGAGAGCCCCGACAGCGCCCCGCTCGCCGAGGCACGTTCTGGTTTGAATTTACTGGCGTGCCGACGGCATCAGTGCCCAAAGGCGTGCCTGCCGAGCGGTCGGCGTCGGCGGCCGGCCGTGGGCGCGATCAGCTGTCGTATACCTCCTGCGTGATCCGTCGCTGGCTTCGCGCAGACGATTTGTCGTGCCCCGCGGCGGTCAATGCCAACAGAGGCTGCCATTTTATCCCGCTATTTGCCGACATAATAGGGGCAACTTAGTGTCAGCGTAATGGGATGTGTCAGAGCGAGCGCGCTGGAGAATTAATCCTGGCCAATGTGCCCATGGAAGTCACGTTAAAAGGCCATTCAGCTAGTCGTTATGCTGGTGCACTTAGTCATCCACTGCCGCCGTGACGGGGATGGGGACGGGGGGAGGGGCTGCAACCTTTGCGCCCCGCTGGAGCCCGTGGCGTCCGGTACCGCGACGTGGGGTTCGTGCGTCACGGTCGTGTCCGTGAGGTCACAGGTCGAGCCCGGCCTGACTGAGGTCAGACCTGCGGTGTCCGAATCCGAGCCTGCCTGCGTCCGGGTCCACTGCTGCTCGGATCTAAGACCACCGTATCTGGCACTCGGGGTGGTCAGGCGGATCCATTGCGTCCGGCCCAGCGCACTGGGTAGGGTCGGGCAAGGACCTCATCAACGCCAGGTGGTTCATGCGGTAGTCCTATCTCTGGAGGAGCCAGGTAGCAAACCCACTGAAATAAACGGCTCGGCCGGCACAGCAATCGTTTGCAATACGATCCATGTTCGCACTAGCATCGTGCAAAGTAAAATATATTTATTTGTTTGAAGTTCATGGCGCCCGGTCATGGAAGCGGACGTTACTAACAGTTCATTGCGATGGCGTCTTTTTCAAGCCTTCAAGATCTTCGCCATAACCTGTCACTGCCATTCTCCATAAGCATCCAAACAACCCGAGGTACTCGCCACAAGCTGTACGTACCTATAACCCCCGAAATATCTTTTCATGACAACAATTCTGAGCGGGCCCGCGGTTTCTACCCCACATACGCTCGAGTTAGCCGCATCGAAGCATAGCGACTGTTACCGCACGTTCATAAAGTCGTTAATCTGCAGCGCACTAGGCCCCATCCAGACTGGCAGTGAAGGATTGGGTGTCTTTTAGAGGGTTTGGGGCTGCTTTCTTCGATCGAAAAAGTATTACAGACTACTGTGTTGCTTACCATGAAAACTAGGACTAGTCTTGCTCGAGATAGTTGTTTTGCGAAAAAGAATTGAAACCTACGTAAAATGAGTACACTTTTGAAATGGTGGTCACCCATGAGCCATCCCTGCAAACAAGGAAAAAATCGTCGGAATAAAAGCCTTTTCAAATATTATTTTACACTTGAAGGGAACGGATGTTGGAAAATGACCTTCAGATTTCCATTTTGATCCGACTACCTAGCGTGGCGGACGTACTGTTAAATCTTGACCTTGTGTGGGAATATACCTTCAACTGGTTTATGTCAGCATTGACCTGCGCCATGCTTTTGCTAACCGGTACCGATACAGAGAAGTCACCGGAAACCTTCACCGTTTTAGCCTAATGCCCAGTGGACGCACCTTTTCTCCAGAGAGCACCATCCGCAGTATGGGTCTACAGCCTGCAGGCACTGCGAGCAGTTGGTGTGCTCCTCGCAGGTCTGCATCTTCATCTTGGTCACCTGCAAACGCAACGGGCGCAACGTCACAAGAAGAACAGTGGAACGCAACAGACGCAACGTCACGAGAAGAGCAGAAGAACGCAACAGACACAGCAGACGCAACGTCACGAGGACAGCAGAAGACTAGAATCGGAGGGCAAGACCTGCGTGGCCTGCAGAACGACACGTGGCGGACAGCTGAAAACGCGGCTGGACACGTGGTGAGCGCGCAGCGTTAGCTCCCGAACTTCTGCATTCCTGGAGCCAGAAGGTCGTGTTCCGCTGTCGATCGCTCGGAAAGATTCGTTCTGCCACCAGTGGCTGGCATCGCTAATGGCGAAGTCGTGTTCTTGGCGGCAAGTTTCAGTGTCCAGACAGTCAAAACTTCTCAATCATGCCTGACTGGTGATAGATTCCTCCTGGGGTCCGGCCTGACGCCACCTTATTAAATTGCCAGTCTGAAACCGTGTCGGGCACTGTTCTTAACTGGCGCTGTGGGCAGATACCAACTGAAGAAATTGGAGGCGATCGTCACAGAACAGCCTGTACCTGCAACTTTGCACCTGCACGTGAACTGCCAAGATGTCGCCGGCAAAGCGAATCAACCTTGCATCAAGCGGATCACCATGCACACCTGCTAAACTGACGAATGTCGTGCATAACACCGCTCGGCACATCTACTCGCCTTTACAGCGTCAAGGCACCAATCGCCTTCGTTCGACCAGTATCGCCGCAACCCGCGCGCGGACGCCGCGCTGGCAGGCGCCTGCCGGTGCGGGTCCCGTCGCCGCGCGTTCACATCGGACCTGCCCGTGCCGTGCCGCCCCAGTCGCCTCCAGGAGCGTCACGCACCGCCGTCACGCGTCGGCGCGCCGAGACGGGCGTGTCCCGGGTGGCGGAGAGGCGCGCCCGTGGCCGGCAGCCGCCGCGGCGCGGGCTTGATCCCCTCTCAAAATAAACAGCCGGGCGGCGCGGCCGCCTGATTTACACCGAGCCGGCCGCGGCCGGAGACGGCAGCGCGCGCTGACACGCCCCGCAGCGCGGTCTGAGCGGCGGCTGCGGCGGCCGCTGGGAGCCCAGGGGAGGTCGGACCGGCCGCGGCCGCGCCGGAGACGGCAGCGCGCGCTGACACGCCCCGCAGCGCGACCTGAGCGGCGGCCGCGGAACCGCCGCCACTGGGAGCCCGGGGGAGGTCGGGCCGGCCGCGGCCGCGCCGGAGACGGCAGCGCGACCTGAACGGCAGCCGCGGAACCGCCGCCGCTGGGAGCCCGGGGACGGACCGCTCCGGCCGATCGGCGTTGTCGTTTCGGTGGCAACCCAGCGAGGTTAGGATTGCTCTGCTGGCGCGAAGGCCGGGTGGCGAGGGCGGCGAGGATTGTACCTCCTTCCTGCTCGCCGTGGGGCCGGTCGGAGACGGCCTGGCATGTCCGACCAGTCCGGAGGTCATTGTGGGACATGGCGTGGAACCATGTCGTCGTCTTACGGGCCCGCTCGTCGCCAGACCATAAGCAGCAACACACCGACGTACAGGGAAGGGACACGACCGCCCTCGCCACAGTCTCGCTAAACATGGGAGCGCTGAAGAATCTGACCGACAGGACACACCAGTGGCACGGCTGTGTATATTGTCATTCTCGCTGGGTGCTAGCATAAAACGTTACGGAATAACTACCTTTTCAACAGTCACACCCCGCATTACAGCCGCGCGCAATAATATGACGCATCATGAATGAGGTAACGTTCCTTCCACTCTACCCTCGTGCACTCGTGGGCGAGCGCCACCAGGCGGCCAGCTCAAGATATCGCCGCGGCTATGGCGCAGCTAATCAGGCGGCACGATCGCACCACGCGCCACTGCTGGTGAGGCAGAGTGACATGTCCAGCCGAGCGGACGAGGTGAGCCGGCCTGCGAGCGGCGCTCGAGCGGAAACGCTGCCCAGACAGTCGATGACAATGGAGGCCGGGCTGTGACAGTCACCCAGACGTGATGCCGAGTTTAAGACAGTCAGCAGACGGCGATATAGAGGCGCGGCCAGGAGTCGCAGGGCGAGGCGACCCCGAAGCCACATCTGCCTCCCGTCGACGCGTGGCAGGAGGTCCTATAAATATGCGTCTCAGTCGTATTCTCCCCGAGAGGCATTAAAAACCCATCAATCAAAGTAAGTATGCCAAGGGGTGAGCATGCCAGATGGAACGTATAGGGTGTCCTCCGGGAAACAAAGCCAAACTGTTGGTCTGATGAGCGAGAAATGACGACATTTTTACAACGGCGGGGCCGTTTTTCAACGACTCTTCTCGTAGGAGTTCGTTTTCAAACGCGCCATTGTTTTAGTTGACGGACGCCGAAGTGTGCTCAGACAGTCGGACAAAAAGTAACGACGTCGTAAAGCCCACGAGTGCTGGGCGCGCCGGGTGGGCACGGCAGGGGCTGCCGCTTGCCGCATGTCCTGGCCCGCGCCGCAGCCCACGTGTCGTGGACTGCTCAGTCGTCAGTCCGTAGACTCCTCAGCGCAGACCTGGCCGACTGATGCCCGGAGCGCCCCAACAGGGTGTGACGTCCCACAGACAGCCTCTCCAGGAGGGTGTGGCGTCCCACAGACAGCCTCTCTAGCAGGGTGTGACGTCCCACAGACAGCCTCTCCAGCAGGGTGTGACGTCCCACAGACAGCCTCTCCAGCAGGATGTGACGTCCCACAGACAACCTCTCCAGGAGGGCGTGACTTCCCTCAGACAGCCTCTCCAGCAGGGTGTGGCGTCCCACAGACATCCTCTAGCAGGACGTGATGTCCCGCAGACAACCTCTCCAGCAGGGTGTGACGTCCCACAGACAGCCTCTTCAGCATGGTGTGACGTCCCACAGACAGTCTCTCTAGCAGGGTGTGGCGTCCCACAGACAACCTCTCCAACATGGTGCGGCGTCTCATAGACAGCCTCTCCAACAGCGTGTGACGTCCCACAGACAGCCTCTCCAGGAGGGTGTGACGTCCCACAGACAGCCTCTCCAGCAGGGCGTGAAGTCCCTCAGACAGCCTCTCTAGCAGCGTGTGACGTCCCTCAGACAGCCTCTCCAGGAGGGTGTGACGTCCCACAGACAACCTCTCCAGCAGGGTGTGACGTCCCACAGACAACCTCTCCAGCAGGGTGTGACGTCCCTCAGACAGCCTCTCCAGGAGGGTGTGACGTCCCACAGACAACCTCTCCAGCAGGGTGTGACGTCCCACAGACAGCCTCTCCAGCAGCGTGTGACGTCCCACAGACAACCTCTCCAGCAGGGTGTGACGTCCCACAGACAACCTCTCCAGCAGGGTGTGACGTCCCACAGACAGCCTCTCCAGCAGGGTGTGACGTCCCACAGACAGCCTCTCCAGCAGGGCGTGAAGTCCCTCAGACAGCCTCTCTAGCAGCGTGTGACGTCCCTCAGACAGCCTCTCCAGGAAGGTGTGACGTCCTGCAGACAACCTCTCCAGCAGGGTGTGGTGCTCCATCGACAGCTTCTCCAGCAGCGTGTGGTGTCCCAGAGACGGCCTCTTCGACACAGTGTGGCGTCCCATTGATAGCCTCTCCAGCAGGGCGTGATATCCCACAGATAGCCTCTCCAGCAGGTTGTGGTGTCCCACAGGCAGCCTCTCCAGCAGAGTGTGGTGTCCCACCGACAGTCGTGCGCACTAAACGATGTCATCGCCGGGACAGCTGAGCTGTATGAAAGAAGTCGATTGGGTCAATACCGAGATATTCATCCTGGGATATTAAAACCGATGATGAGTGTATTTTGAGGACCTGGTCTCACATGAATAATGGATTCGCCGAGCGGTCGTGAGCGGCATTTCAAAAAGGATGTCTGTAGTGACGGACCGACGTTTTCGTTGGATGTGTGATGACGATCTTGTATCAAGCCAACTCATTTCCCTGTCCGTTTTATGCTTATTGAATTGAGCAACGCAATACTCATCTTTCGGTGTAATTGACAGTGCAGATCGGTTGTGTCATTTCATAAGTCCACCAGTTCGCAATGAGGTGAAGCCTTCGGCCAGTTCACAGTGAGGTGAAGCCTTCGGCCAGCTCGCAGTGAGGTGAAGCCTTCGGCCAGTTCGCGGTGAGGTGAAGCCTTCGGCCAGTTCGCAGTGAGGTGAAGTCTTCGGTCAGTTCGCGGTGAGGTGAAGCCCTCGGCCAGTTTGCAGTGAGGTGAGGTGGCCTCGGCCAGTTCGCAGTGAGGTGAGGCATTCGGCCAGTTCGCAGTGAGGTGAAGTCTTCGGCCAGTTCGCAGTGAGGTGAAGCCCTCGGCCAGTTTGCAGTGAGGTGAGGTGGCCCTCGGCTAGTTCGCAGTGAGGTGAGGCATTCGGCCAGTTCACAGTGTGTTGAAGCCTTCGGCCAGTTCACAGTGAGGTAAAGCCTTCGGCCAGGTCGCAGTGAGGTGAAGTGGCCCTCGGCCAGTTCGCATTGAAGTGAAGTCTTCGGCCAGTTCGCAGTGAGGTGAGATGAAGCCTTCGGCCAGTTTGCAGTGAGGTGAGGTGAGGCCCTCGGCCAGTTTGCAGTGAGGTGAGGCCCTCGGCCAGGTCGCAGTGAGGTGGGGCCCTGGCCCCACGTACTCCGCACCGTCGGGTAGGAGCGCTGTGGACACCCCTGGGCTCTCCTCCCTGTCAGCCCCAGAGCCTCGTCACCACGGCTGCCTGCCTCGGTTCACCATCCGTATCTTCTCAGCACGCGAGTCTACTCCGCAGTCAGGTTGCCTATCTGGGCGGTTGTCAAGCTGCCAGCCAGGTGTCAAAACTAATCCATCGCGGTGTCAGGGCCGGCCGCCGGAGAATGCCGGTCATCCGCAAACAGCGCGGCCACACAATGCCGGACGCTGTAATTAATCCCCGCTCCGACGGGCCAACAAATGACGCACGGCGCCGCCGGTGGCGTCCACCGGCCGGGACGTGGCGGCGGTCGTCCCCCGCCAGCGCCCAGGCGACCGGTGACCGGGACACGTGAGGTGTCGGCAGCGGCGGCGGCGGCGGCGGCGGCAATCGCCGGGCGGGGCGTAGCGGCGGCCGTCCGCCGCCAGCGCCCGGGCAGCCGACGGCCGGGCTGTGAGGGGTGTCGGCGGCAGCGGCGGCGGCGGCGGCGGCAGTGCGACTGATCGTCCGGCCGGAGCGGCCACCGCGCCGCCGCCAGCCCGTCGACAGCCCCTTTGTTATTCAAATAGGCCGATTAGCGGCAGCGGGGACGCGTCGGGTTTCGGCGCTCCTGGACAAGCCCAGCGGCGGCGGCGAAACCGGAGGCGCCCTCTGCGCCGGCGGCGCGGCTGGTCCGGCGGCCGGGCGCCGGCGCTTAGCTGGTGCCTGACGGTGGCGGACGCCGCGGCCACCAGCCGCAGCGCTATAAAGTTACCAGCGCGACGTCCGCCCGGCCGCCGCTCTTGTTACACGCGAACAAGACCCGCTGTCGTCTCCAGCAGTTGGAGCTAACGGTGCCGGCGGACGCAGTTGACCGGCTATTTGTTCGGCGCAGCGGGCCACCCAGCCGGCGCCAAGCGTGGGATGCTGCGGCCTCGTGCCCATATCGCCCTGCCGGCTGCCACATCGCCGGGAGGTGACGTCACACAGAGTGCACCCATCGCTCCCGTGGGTCGTCTGCCGGCCGGTCATCACACGCAGCAGCCGAACGGACCGAACGGGGCGCAACACTGCGACTTTTCCCCGGCTTCCGTCTGGCCTATCGCAGGGGTCCACAAGCGTGGCTGGCGGCGGTGTCATGCCCAACCCTGCGGGCGCGCGCCACGCCCTGATGCCACCCGCAGTACAGTCGTGTGCCAACTGCCGTCCAGGTATTCAGGCACGGTATATCAGCGACCGCGTTGAGGCATATATCAGGGGATTCGTAACATGGGGTGCAATGTTGAATACAACAACCTTCAGCTTTTCCATTAAAGGCGTCATGGATGATGGCGGATGGCAGGAACAACCGGCACGTAGCACGCACGCTTTGCATATAACGATCCAACAATCGGCTCAAGTAGACCGTCCTGCCGGAATATGACGGCATCACGCCCCAAATCTCCCAACAAATGTTGAGCAAAAGAATCCTTCATCGGCGTAGCTCGCGCCAGCACACACGCTTGCGCGACGGGGCTTGCACTGGGTCAACGACTCGATGTGCTGCGTCACCAAAACACTAGCGTTGCATGGACTAGCATTGGTGCCGATGGACATGCAAATACTCTGAAGTTACCGTTCATACAGCAGTGGCCAGTGGCCCCGCCCACACGTACCAACCAAACCGCACCTACAACAACCAACAGAGCAGAGAAGTAAGAAAAACACGCAAGCACTTACCGATACGGCGCTAATAAGGTTCCGCCTTAGAGCTATTGAAACACAAACACACGCCCGGGCGTACGCAAATACCCACACGAATACGTGCGCACGTCGCCTTTGGGTGTCACAATTCCTGCCGCATTCCTGGAGTTACTGTTAGAGTCCTGATAGCTATTGTGCATCCAGCTGCACAGCCAATGGCGCTCACCTTCTGTTCAGAGAGGACGTAGACGTTCTCGGCAGCCAGGTCCATGTGCATGTCAGGCAGGATGGATGACCCCGGGTCAACAGCGACTTCAGCGTATGCCCGCGCCGTGTCCATTGACGTCACCAGAACCTGGAACGGGTGCCGAATCGTGGTGAAAAATTTAGACCACAGCCCGAAATATTCTCCAGCCACTCTGGCGTAAATGACACGCCATTTACACGAGGCCAGGACACTCGCCATTCGCAGAGGGCAGGACATTCAACACAGGCAGTAGTGCCGGACATCTCCTTTGACAGCAGCGCCGGGTAAATAGCGATCCGTGGTCAGATAAAGACAGTAGAGAGAGCGCCGCGTTATCTGACGAAAATCGGTAAATTGGTGCAGTAAATCCTGCCGAACTCCTGGGATTTTGCCAGAGCATGCATGTCCTTACATCACAGATCTGGGGAATGGCAAGGAGAAGTAAGAGGAGAGTGAATGAGTGTGAGTGGGTGAGTGAGTGAGTGAATGAGTGAGTGAGTGAGTGAGTGAGTGAGTGAGTGAGTGAGTGAGTGAGTGAGAGGTAGGAAAGAGGGAGAGACGCACAAGGGAGAAGCGCTGAAGAGCGACAACAACCGGGGATAGCTAAACATAGGTCTACAGCTCCGCAGCAAAATAATACGCACACTCAGCGACGCCAGAAATTTTCAGATAGGATCAAGTACTCAACGGAGCCTTTGTTTCCACCATATATCCAACATTCAATGCATGCAAAGAACTCTTTGCATACATTATAATCTGGAATGTCAAGCAACATGGTCGCACTGAGAGGGTTGCGGGAAGGATTCAATATTTTTCAGCAAAATACATTCCAACCATTCTTTCGAAGCATACTTTCCTTATTTCGACACTGCCGGACATACCGTTGTTATCTGTACCACGGGGTCCTATGACATGTTAACGTTCCACCAAGCCGGTAGCTCCCGTTCGACCCTGAGCGAATCTGTTCCAAAGAACGCGTGGTAGCCGGCTGGTGCCAGCTCACATACAGTCAAGAATACGGAATCGCGGGCCTGCTCCCGAATTTTGAAAAAAACAGCATTCACACGCGGGTCCTTAAGTGCATGCTTTCATTGCACGTCGATGCGTTTATGCTTGCATTTGTGTTGCCGTTTAAGTTGTTACAAACCGCATGCGCGAGAGATAACCAAAACATCTTATTTGATCTAAACATGTTATATTCAGATGGAACACGTGCAAACTTTGAGTAGCAGTAGTGACCGCACAAACACTGTTGTTCACACACATTAGCATTGTCATCATTTGCTGTGTCGAATATTTGGCCTGTAAGATAGTACCACCCACACCTGTGATATGAAAGTTTGCACATTCGACAGCTGAGCAGCGCCCGGTAGATACCATGTGCTGTGAACGTTTATCCTGTCATTATCCAGAGCGGAAAGGCACAGTGATTTCAAGTGAGTTCACAAACAGAATTTATCTGCCTAACAGAGACGACTCGGTCAGATGCGAGCAGCTGGGCGCTTCAGAAGTGCTTCGAACCCTCCACGAAAAGGAGCGCGGAGCCGACCCTCCCGAGACGAATCTGTGATATAACGAGCAGTTCAATCAAGCTTTCGGAGCAGTATGCAAAACTTCCCTCCTTATGATCCCGATATAACGACCGCGTCATCCTCGGACCGACCGGCGGAATTCGGATTGTCGGCCGCGTCGCTGCTGCGCGGCGCGTCGTACCGCCGTTTGTATATGATTATAAACCTCCGCGTTCAGTAAAAAACACCGGCGCGGTCTGTCGCCTCGACGGACGCTGCCACGCATCTGAAGACCGCACCAGCCTCTGCGAGGGAGACTGAAGCATCTGTGATCCAGGCGGCTGAGGAGCTCGGCGCCCTCTTGGTGGAAGCGCGCGCTGTTAGCAAGGTGATCGGGAAGATGAAATGAGGATTCAGTAAATGGGGAAACTGAAATAGAGACGGGACCCGTTGGCCTCTCCCCCGGCCGAGCAGAGAGCGACTAGGAGTTGTTAAATCAATCCCGCTGGTCTCATTCTGACAAGTTGCAAACGAGCCATCTGATAGCGGAGATACAAGGAATGAAATGGGATCGAAATGTGAATTGATTCGTTTAGAAGATGACATGTAAAGGGTGTTATCGCGATATACTTCCGTAAAGTACGTTAAGGTCGACATGTTTTCCACCCGCATTTAAACCCCACGAACTACATTCCAGGCTAGATATGGCTGTACACCGTCCCCAACATGGGTAGATCACAGCCCACGTCTTATGTAGGAAGTCATAAGTACGGTATACCACAGACGTGCACACGTGTTTTATCTGCCACGCCGCTCCTCGAGCCGTAATCAACCCAGCCTTTGGCCGTTCAGCTTCACCCAGCCCCCTCCAGCAGAGCCCCGCCGCACCACTGCTACCGCGCCGCGCCGCTATCACCGCGTGCGTCACGGCCGTCGGCAGCGGCGCGCCTTGCGACACGGCCGGCCGGGTGGTCCGGGCCGCGCGCCGGACCGGCGGCCCCGGCGGCGGCGGCCCGCGGCGACGACGCGCGGCCGCGGCCCCGATGGACGCGATACCCGGCCGCGGCCATCCATCGCCGGCAGAAGCCGCGCGCCGTGACGCCTGTCTATTTGCGTCCGGCGCGCGGCGCGCCGGGCCGACGACGGTGTGTCCGGCGGCGGCCGGTGGACCGGCGGCGGCGCGGCGCGCGCTGCCGATCGGCTGGCGTCGCGCGCCGCCCCAGCTGGCGCCGGCCCGACCACCCAGAAGCGCCCTGTTGTGATCGCGGCTGGCGCGGCGTCGGCCGCCGAAATAGCGCCGCCGCGCGCCCGCCGGCCGCCGCGGACGTGTGACGCACGACGGCGCGGGGTGGCGACCCGGCCGCCGGTCACGGCCGCGAGGTCACAGGCAGAGCAGGAAGGAGACGCCACAGGGCGGCTGTCAGGAGGGAGGAGGTCGGGTGGTCACAGGTTATCTACAGGAGACAAGGTTCCAGGCCACACGCAAGACGACGGGTCGTGAGATTCGGCCCCGATGTCACGTCGGACTGGAAGAAGAACCGCCGAAAATTAATACCGGCGCAGAAGGCCGTAGGTAATCTTCCGTCTTTCGAAACAACACAGCCAAGATCTACCAAAGCAAACGCAGACGACATTTATGTTCCTGAGAAGCAACACCTGACATGTATTGGTTTTACTTCCTTCAACACGGAACATTTCCTCTGCAGACGCTCTGCTGGCCACTGCCGGTGTGCAAGCCAAGAGCAACACAGCGGGCCATGCATGCACCGCCCAGCGCCACTGCAGCTCTCTCCAACTTCATGGTGGCGGCCACTGAGCCAAGCCGAGCACGCCGCACCACGGCGTCGGGGGGCATCAATTGCAGACTGGACGTAATTACGCTTCGAGATTGCCTGCGTGATAAACAGCTTTTGCAAAAGTGACATCAGACTCATTTCGGGGGATGTAATCGTGTAAACGACTGAATCATGGGCGTGGGTCCGCAATCAACTGGTAAAGCGACGCGCTTAAACTGCGCACGGAAGTTGAAACGTCCAAGACACGCGGAGTGGCGCGCAGCTCCCGTCCGCAGCCAAGACGACTTTGATATATTATAATAATGGAAATAACATTGCGGCTTGATAAATGAAGAGTCCTGATTTGGCTTCAACATGTTTTATCATCAAAGAGCAGATGTGGCGCGTTGCCGTCAGTGCCAAGTAAGTATCCCTTGGCGGTGGCATAGATAAATTTTAAAACTTCGACTGAGCTAACTAGGCCTGCATTAATTCCTGCGAGGACACAATAGTACACGAAGCTGTTTGTCTCAGAGAAGCTGTTGATATTACGCAAACCCATTGTCCACCCGTGCACTTCTCAGTTCCTCTCACGTTACCAAAGATTCACACCAACGTCACACCACGGTCCATCACGGTCCAAACTGGTCCGAGAATGCTGAACATGAAAGCAGGCACAAGGGTCCGGCCTGGCCGGAGAGGTGTGGACCGGCCCGTCTGACGTCACGACCCGGCCGCCGACACGCACCACATGGCCCGCGCGCCGTGTGCGCCGACGGAGCGCCCCGCCGGCAGCGCAGAGGCGCCGACCGGCGCGGCGCGGCGCCCCATTTACATTCTGGCCGAACGTGTACACGCTTGTCCCGGCGTCAGCGGTGATTGATTGGCTTGGAGCGCAATCAGAAGGCCTTTCTTCTGCGGTGTCGGGTAGCGCGCGGAGCGAGAGGGTGGATAAACAGACGGCGGGTCACCCCATGACGGGAGGCCAGCTGGCGGTGTGACCCGAAAACTCACACCTGCTGCTGCAGCATAATAACAGTTAGAGGGCTCATTTTCAGTGAGGGTGGTGATTTTGGCTCTGGGGCCGAGGCCGAACAGTGAGTCTGTTGCTCACCTAATCGCGTAGCCGACATAAGTAGTAGGTAATAGCTGGAATACTTGGAACGGGCTATATTTAGCTCCCAATATGCCTACAGGGCCTCTCGGGTATCAACAATGTTATTCTTCGCTTTCAAGACTGGCTAGCGCGAGAGAAGTCGATGACGACTCACAGCAAATAGCAACTGGTAGTCAGAACACAGAGTAGGTAATAGCTGGAACGGTACTTGGAAAGAGCTATATTTAGCTCCCAATATGCGTACAAGGCCTCTAGGGCATCAACATTGTTATCCTTCGCTTTCAAGACTGGCTGGCGCGAGAGAAGTCGATGACGACTCACAGCAAATAGCAACTGGAAGTCAGAACACGGTCAATACAAAAATACTTTCCTCAAAGTCCAACCCAAACTTGCCACCCAAGAATCTCGATGGCGCCATACCATCGCCGAAATATCGATGGCAGGCGGAGTAAAAACGGGACGAGATGCAGCTGCCCCGGTTTTAATTGGTGCCCTGGAATCACGTCTGCGGAATGACGCCACCAGCGCGCATTCCAAATGTCAGCTCGGCTCTCGTAAGCAAAGCGACGTGTCTGCGTCATGTCTGCGCCACGGCGCACCCGGAGTCACCTGCGGCCTGCAGCCCCATCATTCCATTCCAGAGGCGGCAAGAACCAAGGTAAATCAGCGACGCCCAATATATCCATGCTGCCAAGCCGTCTAGGCACTGGCGTGACACCGCGTCAAACACTATCACTATAATAACATCTTAGCATTTCGGCGGAATGCAATTCATCATCCCGGGATGGCGTGTGGCAAATTACGACCTCGTACATCAAAAGCCAAGAATATTGCAGTTTGGGGAATCATCGGGATCAATAAGCAAAGCTCACTCCAGCGATGCACGATCAGCACTGGCGGGAGATTCCACCCAAGCCGGCTGAAGTTTGGATAGCTTGGGTCCAGGGGTCGAACGATGATTGATTTGCCGGGTGAATGCAAAGCTCGGAAAGTTAGACAAACTGAGCATGAGGCATGCCACAGGCAGGCCCGTTCCCGACTGGGCCGCCCTCACAAGACGCAACGTCCTGAATAGTTTGCCCTGCACGGGTCTGTGCACAGAGGCGCGCGTCTGTGCATGGAGGCGCGGCGCTGACTTCAGCGCGCGCCGCCGACACGCCTCGGCCTTGGCCCGGCTGTGTTCGGCGACAGCCACGTGCTCCCTGCAGCCGGTGACCGCTGCCAGGGGCTCGCAGCGAGGCGGGGCAGGCCCGGCCAGATGTCCGCTCTGTGTGAGGTCCCGCGTCCGGCTATCGGAGCACGCCGCAAATTAACATTCCCGCCGTGCTCGCCGGCGGTGGCGCGCGCGCGGGGAGATAAGGCGCCGGCGGCGGCCAGTCCGCGCGACAGGCGCCGGAACACGGCACCCCATGCTCCCCCGTCCGGCGACACGTCACGTCCTGGCGCCGGGCGCCCCTGACCGACCGTACCGGAAGCGGCCGTCGACGGCGGCGCGGCGGCGGCTCGCCGCTCTGAGTCAGCCGGACTCCGATAACGTCGCGCGGCCGAGAACGAATGACGGCCGCTGTCATAACACGGACGAAGTCCAAAGTCGGAACAATCGCCGCACCTGACGCTGAACAAAAGGTGGTTGATGCGTGGCTTCAGGTTGAAAAGTAAAACACCCGGTGTATTGCGTGGGTTATCGCAAAATTAAGGTGGTGCGGTCACTGCTGTCACCTCCGTCGATGTTTTCCACAATAAAAGCAATTGAAATACATTCACGATCAAACATGCCTGATGCTTAAGTTCATGTGTAATGCCTTCTCAGGAGCAGCCAATAAGATGGCCGGAAAATCAGTCTCTTTGCCACTACCATCAAACCTATGCGCGCAGGAAACTGTCCGAGCCTTGCCCACCTGTTGGGTCGGGTGTAGGCCGTTCTAGTGCCTTTTCCGTCCTCGCTCAGAACAACGTTCCAAAGGTCGCCACCCACCCCACTCAGGCCGACATCGCACATCTGCACCGCAAGCGCGCGCGGCTGCCGCCCGGTGCCGCGGTCAACTCCAGCGGGCGGGGGGCCGGCCGGTCCGGGACGCTCCGACGGACGGACGCTGCCGCCGGGCCGACAGCCGCCGCGACGGCGGCCCGGTCGCCACCAGCGACTTGGCACCGGCGGCGGCGCGTCCGTCGGCCCGCTCGGTGGCGAGAGAGGGAGAGGGAGGGGAGAGAGAGCGGGCTGCGAAATCGCCGGCGCCGCCGTCGGCTCTCAAGGGCGGGCGGCCGCCTGCCAAGCGGCGACGCCCGTGCGATACTGCGGACAGGCCGACACCGCGGGCGGGCGGACCGTGCCCCTCCCCCTCCCCCTCGTCCCAGAGCTGCTTCATTCTGCTCCACCCGGCTACCGATTTCATGTTACATTCACCACCTTGTCATCGACGCATCCGTATCCGTCATCCCTTTGCTTGCTTTACATTAGTTTGCTGTCGTGTACTCGTAGATTAGCACTGCACACAATTTATGGGAGCAAGGATAGCCGTTTGGTTTGGGAAAAATAGCCGCGTCAAATCAATGCGCACACTATCCATGCGCCATCCGCCCACCTGGGCCAAAGACAACATCCAGCAACATTTCAGGACAAGGCGACAGGGAAGGCAAGATTCTGTACGGCCCGGTCGGGCACTTTTGGAATGCGCGGAGATCATGCATGCAGGAGGCTCTTCGGGAATGACATTCCAGATACGTTGTGCAAGCTAGTGACGAATCGCTATTATCGAGGATAATCGAGGTTAGAAATATCATTGATATTTGGATTGATTTGGATTGTAAGACTTTGATACAAAGTGATCAAACTAACAACATACTTGAAATATGTCTTTAATCACATACATCTCGATAATGCACCAGTGAACCGTGCATTTGACAGGCAAACAGTTTTATAGGCCAAAAGCGTGGTGTTTTACCGCGGTACACATAATGAAATCCGGCGAACCCTTTGGAAAGTCACATCACAAACCAAAACAAACTTCCGAAAGGTTCCGAGAAGCACTTCCGGCATGCCATCAATACTGCAGACGTAGTCTAAAATGGTGCAGTTGACCGCCTCTATTTGATGGGGCAATAACTGACAATTTACGAGTCAAATAAGCCAATTCGTCTGCATTGGAGCCATGGCTGAGAATAGACAGCGCCAGCTACATCTGAGTCTGGCGAAATACTGTACCTTCTTGACGTATCCGTGGTCGGTGCCCAGCAGCGCCACGGTGTGGTGACCTGTAGAGGTCACGGCCACACTGGTCACCCGCTGGTCAAACGAGATGACCGGGTCAGCTGTGAGCGGCTGCAGGGCCGAGATCTTCAGACCCACCGAGCAGAAGTGCAGGATGTTGCCGGTCGTCTGAAATGATAGCAGTGGTAAGAACGCGGTGTGCACTGAGACGGTCAGAAAGATATGTTTAATGAACACACGAAACACCGGCGTAACCACGGTCCACAAAGCGGAATGCTACGAAACTACCGCAACTTGTTTCTCTTCAGGTATATTCAGCGCTATTGCAGAGAGTAGTTCCCTGATGCAAGCTTCAAGGTTTGTGGAAACAGTTGGAATGATGCATACCGGCATGGCATGCATGGTATTATGGTCATTTCAGGATTTTGCTTTTTTAAATAAATAACGAGGTTTGTAAACATTTTAAAGTATGCGTCGTTAATGTACGTGTGTGTTAAAACGGACAGAACCCATTGCCGTATCTCTTCAGTACAACCAGCATCACAGCTCGCGTAGCCAATGTCCGGTCCGGCAAATTCCTGTCACAACAGAGCTCTGCAACCGCAGCAAGGCATACACGGGTATCTGCAATGGAAGCGAGGGATGACCGTCGCGAGCCATCAATAATGCATGTTACGGCAGAGCGCATGCGTTTTACGACCCACAGTGCATACTGAATGCATCACCGCGGTGCCGTACAATATTTTACAGTCGCCGTAGCATTCTCTTTTGGTCATGAAACAGCCGCGCGCGCAGGCCCTCGCTCTGACTCTGAGTCAGAGGGCCTGATGCCGGAAACCATGACTCACGGCTGGCCAGCGTGTTTCACAGCCAAGAGGTGACGGAGCTTGCCCACAGAGGTGAGCAAATTAAGATTATGGCGTCATGGGCGTCACCTCACCATCACTGGCATCAGTGGTGTTCGGACCCAGTGACGTCACGGCAAATTGGTCTACTTTTGCGATTTGGCCACGCAAAATGGCACCTACGGAGACTAGGCTGGTAGCTTTTAAAGCTTGGTTACGTTCATGACTACGACATTGTATATGAGCATCAGTGGAATATGCATTTACTTCATACTGGCACGGACAAAGCAACATCGTTTTGCCAGACGATTCCCAGCAAACTTCTCGCGAAATGGCGCAGTGCCGCAAAAGACGACGCACACATTCGTAAGATACTCAGAGTAGGACCTGCATTTAGCATAGGTACTGATTACAAGCTTCAATAAGCAGGTGACACACGAGAAGAGCAGCCACCACCGCATGGGTTTTGTTTTGGAAAGCTCTCCGGCCTTCCGTTCCAAAACCAACTGACCCCGGTGCGACGAGCCGCGCGAACAGCAGGGTCAGACACGAACACCTGCTCTTGCTCGCGCCGAGACACCAGGCCGGTGCAGCGCAGCCCCGGGGCAGCCGCGCGCCTAGCTAATCGGCGCCACCCGCCCGACGTCCATCAGCATCAGCCGGGTGGCGAATGACCCACTGCCGGCCCTCCAAAATACACACCGGGACGCGGTGGTGCCCGTCCCCGCCCGCGTCGGCAGCCGCCAGGGGCGCAGCACGCGCCTGGCTACTGAGGGCGCCCGGCGCCCGGTCGGCTGCCGGCTGACGCCGTGCCAAACCTGCGGAACATGGGGAGGCAGCAAGGGGGGGAGGGGGCAGACGTACCGACCCGACGCGACCCAGCCGACCCGCTGACGTTCCGCCTGACCCGGCCCGACGGACCCACTGATCCGACACGGCCCACCGACCCGACTCGACCCACCCACTGACCCGACTCGACCCACCGATCTGACTCGACCCACCGACCTAAGGCGGCCCACCAACCCGACTCAACCCACGCAATGACCCGACTCAACCCACCGACCTGACTCGACCCACCGACCTGACTCGACCCACCGACCTGAGGCGGCCCACCGACCCGACTCAACCCACGCACTGACCCGACTCGACCCACCGACCTGACTCGACCCAACAACCTGAGGCGGCTCACCGACCCGACTCGACCCACGCACTGACCCGACTCAACCCACCGACCTGACTCGACCCACCGATCTGAGGCGGCCCACCGACCCGACTCGACCCACGCACTGACCCGACCCGACCCATCGACCCGACTCGACCTGGCGGCATCGACCCAAGTCGACCCAAGTCGACCCAACGACCCGACTCGACCCACGCACTGACCCGACTCGACCCATTAACCCGAGTCGATCCACCAACCCGACACGACCCGCCGACCCGACACGACCTGGTTACACCGACGCGATGTCACCCCTGGGATCTGTCAAACCGCCAGCTCCTGACGAATTCTCCTATCTGATGCGATGTCGCGTCTTCATTCAAGGCATCTATCCGTGGGCTGGTTTACAAAGCCTAGTTCTAGATAACCAAGTATGCTAAGAGCAAAACCTGAAAGGGTTCGGCAAAAACACAAACAAAGTGGCCTAATATAGTCAGTGATCAACCAATATATATAAAAACGTGATATGGCGGTGGCCGACATGGCCCGCTTTGTTACACAAGGACGCGCGTATTGATGACGATGATGAAAAATAATGCGGATATAAATTGGCTGCATCAGTTTTTTTGTTTGTTCTCAAAATAAGCGCAGTAGATCTCATATCATCAATAACCACCTGTCAGGTGCACATTATTCTGCGTAGCTCATAAGTTTACCCCCAGGTTAGCGCCAGACAACACATGGATCACATGGAATCACGGGGTAATTACTTCTTCGCGCAACTTCTGTTCCGGCCCATTACCGTTTACCCCCCGGATGTCGATGGATACGGCAGGGTCAGAACGTCACTGGGTCAGTTCGCGGCTTTCCAAAGCCTCCTCGATTGTTTGGCACTCGTCCTGTACCACAGACGACAAAGACCATGATCACTCACGCAGCGGCCGTAATTTATATTTGTGGCGACGCGGCCGGCCGCGGCAGAGACGCTGCATCGGAACCAGGTCACAGCAGCGCGGCGGGGTGCGCAGCTGGACGCTGGCCCTGCCGCCCTCCGGACTCGTGAGGAACACTTCTTTAAAGGCCAACTGGACCGGATGGACTCTCACCACTGTTGTGCCAGAGAGCGGCGTCGCGCCGGCGGCCCAAACACACCGGTGTGGAGCAGCCCGTGCAAGGGTGGTGCCGGCGAGCGGGCCAGGTGTCCGTGGCGTACAAGGCACCCTCTCTCCGCGCGGCGGACGGACGAGGCTGCCAGGTCTCTGCCCTGAACCATTCAAGGCTCAAGGACGCCTCACAACAGCTCCGCACCAGATGATCATTTAGGATGGCCAGGCTGCTAGGCCGCAGTACTCGCCATCCTAAACACAACACAGGATAGCCTAACGTAGCGAAACAAATGTAAGGATCAAGCGCGCGTGGAGCTTGCAGTGAATCGTGCCGCAGGCAAATTAGCTCTGCCACCAAAAGCAATCGCCGCATCATCGGAAACTCTCCGCCGCATGCAGGCGCCTTCCCATCTTCGCGTGGCGGCGCGCGAGTGAGTGGCAGATCTGATCAGCGGCCCTCTCGTGCTGCTGACCGTCGGACTGCCGCCGCGGCCGCCGCCGGCGCCGCGTGGTGCCACCAAAACACCGGCTCACGGCCCGCCGCTCCAGCCCGGCGCGGCGTCTCGGGACAACACAATCGACCGCGCCATCAGCACTCCGTTTTCGGGCCGATCACCTGCGGCCGGCCGACCTGCCGCCAGCGCGCCGCTGTCGCCGCCGGTGCGCCGGTATCGCCGCCGCCGCCGCCGCCGCCGCCACGGGCCGGCCAACAGAGCCGCCTTTCACCGGGCGCCGGCGGCAGGTCGCATGCCGCGCCGCGGCCGGCCCGGTTAATGAGAGCCACCGGTATGCTCCCGCGCAACAGAAGCAGCGGCGGGGCGGCCAGATCGTGCGGCCCGCCTGGCAGAGGCGGCGGCAGGCCATGGCAGGCTCAAATGGCCCAGTGCGACGGTTTGGCAGCACAGATTGTGCGGGCGTTTTGGTTCGGGTTTAGCGCGGTAAGCTGGCAACCATGAATGACACAGTGCGGTGATTTGCCGACCTTGAATGGTCCAGTGAGCAGATCTGGCAGGTTCGAGGCGCACCGGAAGCCGCGACCGCGAGCACCACAGACCCCTGACCCGGACGGCAGCACGCACCGCTTCTGAGCGGCCGCTTCACCCGTGCGTCTGTCGTGACGCCGCTGTCTTTCCCGGTCAGCCGCAGCGAGAGCTCGCTCGGCCCAGTTGGACTCTGCGGGGCCAGCTCCCGCCGAGTCCTGTCGGCGACAGGGCCAGTGTCGCTCCGCACCCCGTCAGTGTCGCTCTGCACCCCGCCGGTGTCGCTCCCACCCCGCCACTCGGACCTGGCTACGACGGAGCGCTTTTGCGACCATGGGTTTGATCTGGCACTTGGGCGGGCCAGACTGCGCTGGTGGCGGTGTGGCACTGCGAGCTTTACGCCGCGGCGGCCGGTGAGTTGAGGACCGCCAGGCGGAGGACCGTCAGGCTGCGACCGGTACTGTTGGGACCGAGTCACTGTGACCCGACAGAGACCCACAGTCATTCTACGGGACGAGCGAACGACCGTGCAACAGTCTTCGGCTTGGAAGACCGGGTCTGGTAGCTGACGGGCAGACGAGCTGACAGAAGCCTGCTGCATGACGGAGAGACGCTGACGAATCTGCCCGTTGAGTCAACGGGCAGCTCTGCCTGTTGACCGGCAGACAGGGACTGGACGCTGTCTGGCAGACCGGCTGACCAGACTGCGTGTGCGGTCGTCATGTCTGCCATGTCCATCGGACGCGCCAGTCGGCAAGACAACCACTCGGACCGCTCGCAGTGACGACCCAGCTCGGCCGGGACCATGGCGGGCGTGCTGTGCGGCAGGCGGCATGAAGACTGGCTCGGTTCGATTGCGCGCCTGTATTCTGCACGGCATGGAAGCATGAAATCACCGCACTTCGACCCGACAGCTAATACGCGAGCAGGTGCGTTTGAGTCACCCGCGGCCGCAGACCGCACACACCGCAGAACGGCTGCAATGCCAACCGCGTGATCAAAAGGCCATCTGCTCGGCCGCCACGTGTGCACGGCCCCGTGCCGGCACGGCACGGATATTGCCCAATGAGCCGTGACC